CGGTACGTAAAAATACATCACATTTCCATCCAATCGAAAGGATTTTAATAATATTCACTGAATCACCGATTAACTCAGGGGCACCTTGGTGGTCGACCCGGAGGTTGATTCGAACATATCCCAAGGCAAAATACCATAAATCATACGCATATGCACGGCTCGTAGAAGATGAGGACAACAACGATAACTCGTAATGTTATTGCGCTTCTTGTGGAAAGAGGTGCGAGTTTCTTAAGACAGTTGATATGATATTTATTCCTTGTACAAAATTAGAGAAACATTTCTCAACTACTTTACTTTTATAAGCTAAAGTTGTAATAAAAAGGTCAGTGAAATGTTCATTTGTTCATTTGATATCCGCGAAGATCATGTAGTGTCTCAGATATCCAAATAATTTCTGTTGTAGAGTTGTATATCGGTTTTCCATTTCGCGTGGTAAAAATTGGTATGGAGAAACGGCGCAACAGAGCCATGTTGTAGCCGTTAAAACAGTTCTCTTGTTCCGCGAACGTTCGCCTACTTTATTATCCTGTCGTCGATCCATTATTGTGTATCTAAGGTCGGAATACTGCTTTAGATATACCGGTTGACGAATTCGCAGCATCGCGTGTACAATTTGCAATAAACTTTGATAGTGGAGTAAAACTTTTAACGATTTGCCATTACAGTTTGCAATAAAATGCAGCATAGCGTCGTTTAATTATAAGGACAAGACGGCACAAATACGGTTAAGAAAAGAATATAAACTACCTTCTTGCTGTTTTCGTCTAACTTCCGAACAAAAACCGAGTTGAAATTTACATGTTTCATAAATTGTTTTTTCTCGTGTGCGGAGAGAATTTTTTCGAACGATTTAAACAATTGTGTACGTGTAGTAAGCGAAGACGTCCGAAATCGATTCCGATTTAGATATCGTTTTTGGTTCAATTTAGCGGAGGGTTTCGCTTAAGAGGAGAATCTTTTTTTGACGCCAGTCGATCTGGGTACAGTATAGTCCACATTCCTAAATTGTAAAAAACGCTGACGTGTTGATCTAGCAACTGAACGCGATTTTTTTTCAATCGTACTCTTACAGGGTCGCTCTTTATAACGATAATACAAACAAGTAATGATATCATTGTAGTAACAATTTCGTTTTAATTAGAATATAAACAATCTAAACAGATTTAGTTGTTTGTTCTCTATATAAGACGCGTTGGCGTTGGAAGTCTTAATCTTGCTAAGTCAACGTGAGGGGTAAACCCAGTATTTTGGAACAAGATGCTTAAATTTACCAATTAAAAATAATTGGTTCTATTATTTAGAAGGGCAGACTGAGGGTAAATAATTCCATGTCTACTAATTATGTTGGTATGGTAAATTTATCGGGATCTTCGGTTTTGGCTCAGACTTTGTTTAAAAAATGCGTTTGTTGTGCGTGATGCAGAAAACAATTGTTACTGCTGCCAATAGAGATAGACCACGAAACATAAATTAAGTTATTAACTGTGTTGACGGGTTGTAAGTTATTGGAAATACTTTAGATAAGCAGAGCAAATAATTTAAAAAAGGTACAATATAAAATTACTTGGCCTTAATTTTGTCGCGTTACTAAGATAAGTAATTTACGGTACCTATTACTCGCCTGTTTGTTTACTGATAATTACGAATGGCTCAATTTTAGACTTGCCTAATTCGGAAACTGTTTATTTTTCTTATCTCGGACATGCGTGCTTCTGACTGGTTGTAATAAAAACGCTTCTAGGAACACATTTTTTAATATATTCAAAGAATATCTCAACGGGCAGGAACTTACTCATATCTTAAGTTGTTCCAATCGATTACTCACTTAATAATTTGTCATATAATTTATTTACAATATATTTGTAACAAGTATAGCTATAGCAATAAACGAATAATATATTGCTCTTGTGGTTCACGATTTTTCGGCTTCTGTTTCAATATTTGCTATTTTTCATATCGCAAGCTGCTTGATGTTCCATCATTGTAAACGTTCATCAAAGAGTCATATTAAACTTTGTCGGCACGAAGCGGTTTTTTTTCAAACAAAAATGAAACGAGCCGTTATTAAAAAGGTTTCACACTAATTACTGTCGTTCGGTAAAACGCTTTTTGGTTAATATTTGGAATATTTCGACTGATTCTATGTAGCAATTTCTTTAAACTTTGACTGCGAACTGTTCTGTATAACCTCAGTTCGTTGAATAAAGTTTTTATGCAACTGTTTGCAGCAATGCCTTGTTCCGGGGTATATAGTTCCACGTATCCGAATAAAGCATCGCAATATTTCTAGCTAGATAAATGTAGTATTCTTCGGAGAGTTATATTAAAATATTCTACACGGGACTATGCAGAATTCACAAAATAAAAATGTTGCGAATCTACTCGAAAGAAAATGTATTCAATTTAAATACAACTTCCAGTCTATTCGAGCATTAAGCCAAAACAGACGCATTTCATCTTGCCAGGCTGAAAGCATTTAACACGAAATAAAAAGCGCAAAGCGTTGTACTCTCGATATGATGTTTGCTAAATTCAAAACAGCGTGGACGCGCTCGTATTTGAAATGAACGTTCGAAACATGAGTAAATTTATAAAATATCCCCAATTTAGTGTAGTTGTCTAATATAAAGTCACTCCTGCACTTATACTGCTGTCAAATAAGAAAGGGAACTTTATTCTTTATTATGTGTGAAAATGAATAGTTGATATCTTCATCTGAGACAAGGTCAAATTAAATAAAAAAATATGTGGGTATTTCCGCAATTGTCTTAAGTTTTGAATATATTGAAATTTCGAAATAATTCATATGAATTTCTTTTTCGAAACATGTACTCATTCTTGATCTTAGTACAGTTGTCTAATATAAAGTCACTCCTGCACTTTTACTGCTGTTAAATAAGTAAGGGAGCTTTTTTTTCGTTTTATGTGTACTTTAGACGAAAAAATGAATATTTGACATATTTATGTGAGACAGTCAGGTTAAATCACAACAAATGCGACGATTCCCACCGGAATAGTATGTTTTTTGCTGCACTTTGGAAACAATTTTGGGTTATCCATACATTCATCACCTGCTTGAAATTCCTTTTGGAAACATGAGTAAATTTGTACTTGATATATCCCGATCCTAATGTAGTTGCCTGATATAAAGTCACTCCGACACTTATACTGCTGTTAAAGTAAGGGACCTTTATTTTTTATTTTGCGTGTACTTTTAGATCGAAAAATTAATAATTGACATATTTATGTGCGACAGTCAGGTTAAATCACAACAAATGTGACGATTCCCACCGGAATAGTATGTTTTTTGCTGCACTTTTGAAACAATTTTGGGTTATCCAAACATTCATCACCTGCTTGAAATTCTTTTTCGAAACATGAGTAAATTTATATTTAGTATATCCCGATCTTAGTGTAGTTGTCTAATATAAAGTTACTTCTGCACTTATTCTGCTGTTAGATAAGTAAAGGAGCTTTTTTCATTTCATGTGCGATTTAGACGAAAAAATTAATAGTTGACATATTTATGTGAGACAGAGTCAGGTTAAATCACAACAAACGTGACGATTGCCACCGGAATTGTATATTTTTTGCCGTACTCTCTAAACAATTTTGGATTATCCACACATTCATCACCTGCTTGAAATTCTATTTCGAAACATGAGTAAATTTGCAATGGCTTAAGGATGAAGTTACTTTCGTGCTTGCACCGTTTATAAGAAACAAGTGAACTACTACACGTTTATTTAAAATGTGACCCGTACCATTTCTGCAATAGAAATTCCCTTTAATGACAGTTTCATTATACGAGTAGGTACGCCTTTCTAGTTGAACTCGCTGATCTTTTAAATTGGATAAAAGCTACCGCTCTTTCTCTTATGGTCTATTATCTGCCTACCCCGTGAAAATAATATACCTTTTGCTGCTCGGTTGATTAGCAACTGTCAGGTACACATTAGGCGGAAGGGGAACAAACGCTTTACAATTTAAAATTGTGCTTTTAAGGAGCACTCCGCTCCTGCCGCTGACTTTGTCGCATTGCGAATAATATAATAAATCTAAATGACAAATGTGTATTCCCTCGAAAACTTGAAGGCGAAGTACAAAAATTTAAATGTACAGGGATATCCTCGAAACGTCGTCTCCGTTCTCTCTTTCACTCTTACGAAATTTGCTTGCCGTTTCAGAGCTCTTCAGACAAATAATTGAATTGGGAGATAAGGAACAGATGTGTATTTGTTAAATAACGCATTGATCTTATAGCAAGTTCGTTTAGTCTTTTTTTGAAATCGAAACGTCTTTCAGGAATGTGTTATACTATCCACTTGAAGTATACTGCGAAGCAGTGTTAGCTGCAGGTTTTCGAATAATTCGTTTGTTACTTATTGTATGCAACCAAATATACATTGGTCAATACAATTGACTAATAAATTTAACATTTGGGATTTTAAAGTTAATTAAAAGACAATTTGCAAGGCCAGGTGTTTTAGTTGGAGAAGTGGATAGTTGATTTAATAATAATAAATCCAAATGAGTCAGAATCAGGTTAAATTGAAACTGTGATGACTTCGACGGGAATTACGTAACTTTCGAATTCTTTGGATAATTTTCTGTAAATATTTTGCGGGAACTAATTTAGAATTTAGGATATATCAGTTTTTAAAGTTCCTTGCTCTACAATTCGTTTTCCGCTCTGTTTAACAAGAAAATAAATAGACAAATTATGTGTGCGAGCGGTTTGCCGTGTAATTTGCGATTCCAGCTTTGATCCACGATATTGTGGAAGTAGTTTTTTATTCCGTATGTCAGGCGCGTATAATTTAAACTTCTGCGTAAACATCCCATTGTTCTCGAATAATAATTAGATGAAACTAATAATATTCTCCCGGCATACCAAATTCCCACAGAAACACTGAAACAAAAATTTACTATGCTAAGCAATTCGCAGTCGGTTTCGGCAGGGAGTTTAAAGCTAGATAGAAATTCCCCTTCATGACTAGCAATAGGTTTCTAATTACTATTTTTGACTTTATAGAAACTGGTTTTTATTAAGTAATCATAGCTGATGATGCTCATTTATTAGTCGTAACATATTCGAAGATGGGCTGGCTCGTTTTCGTGGTTTTTGGTGCAGCCTTTTGTGGTGAGTCTTATCTTATTAAATATAGCAGCAATTAAGAAAGCTCCGTCATCGTTAAAAATAATTTATCGATTTTAAACAATAGTAATTTAATTAGAACCTATACTGTTACTTTGAAGAATTTACAAACCCGCTTTTTACGACGAATTTTTACGTTTTTGTGCAATATCGAAAATATGCTTGATAATTGAATAAGCTGATGGAATTGTACCGGAGACTTTGAATTATTTATGAATAGGATATAAATTAGGCACAATAAGGGGTTAAAAACAATCGCGGAAGTAATGAATCCTGATCTGTTTGCAGCGGGGTAAGCACCTTTGTGTAGATAACGGTTTCTTTATTATTTATTTAGCATATTTAATTTAGCCCATAAATTGACGACAAAGAAAATTGGTTCGGTTCACTTTCCCTAACGATAAACGACACAGTTACGCAACAGAGGTGTTAACATATTCAAATGAAGTCTTGTACTGGAGTCTAATTGATTTATAAAGGAAAACCTAAATGTTTGCGGTTTTGTTTGAATATGAACGAGATACACGCCTCATCGATTCGCCCGTGAAATGTTTTAAAACTTGCCCGTTTTCGTGACATTTCGGACAACGCTAAAGAGAAAATTTATCTTATAATAACCGAGATAAGCCGTAATTGAAATTTTCTAAGGAACTCGATATAGCTCCCTTCTTACGTCAGAATTACTTATTTTTTTTTCTGTCGTAACCAGATGCGGCCGGTTTGCCAAACAATTTTCATTCATGGCCTTTTATCGGTCGTGGATCCACCGGAAAACTTTACAAAGTAATTCCTCCTTTGTCCTAACTTTGATGATGTTAATAACCCCGAGCTATATAGGCATCTCCGAATATTTTCGGTCTTGAACATCAAATACAACGATTTGCCCCTTGTTCTAACGATGTTTTCAAGTCTTTTTTTATATATCAAAATATGAAAACAGTTTAATATCAAAAATTATTCGTTATAGGTACTGCTTCAGATAAAAGTTGGCACATTCATCAGGGGAAAAATTATTTCCTTAAAGCTCACGATCTTTCAGGGGCAAATTTGTTTTTTTCAAATAGCAGTGTATATTATTTTAGGCATATTTCGTTTGAAACTTTTATTTTGAAAATTGTGCAGTGTTTGGGTCATTTTGAAAGCATAGAATCGATTATCAAGTGCAGATGGTTATTTAATTGAACCACAATTGTTTGGGCAAACTACCCATTGGTCGATTTAGTTGGATTTTTTACAAAACCACTTCAGTTATTTCCTGGACGATAATTAGGTTAATAGTGTTGTTCAAACAAGTTGACGTGCCTCCTCAATTACTTAAAATAACATACAGAGTGTTAAAGAAAATATTCCTTGGCGGTGGCGTATAAAATAGTCGAAAATAAAACGAAAAATTATTCACACAAAAGTCTTTGTGTCTTCTAATAGACCAGGGCGGATCTGTTTTGAGGTGGATGTGAGAGGGGGCAAGTAAATTTTTTCTGGATTACCTTCAGTACAACTCACATAATTAGTGTAAAAAGTGTAGATTCCTAGATCTGGGCGAGGTCCGGAACATTTTCAAAATTGCAAAATACCTATTTTATCTGAGTTTTTTACTTATATCTTGGAACTTATACATTTTGGAAGAATATTGAGGAGGAAAAAAAGTTTTAGAATTGAATTTTGCGCAATATACTGCAATTTAAAAAGGTTTAAATTTATTACCGATGTTTCAAAATAGCAATAATTGATGAAAAAAAGCAAACTAATCAAGTTTTTTGGATCATTTTTAAAAAATGGGAAATGGGAAATTTCCGTTGGGAAATGTTTTTGGGACACTGTATAAACAGCAAAAAAGTCAGTAAGAGCGTGACTGCTTTTTTGTTTATAACGGTTCATTGAATTCTCCAAAATACGTTTTATATTTTATTATGTTATACTTGTACTATATTTGTTAAAAATTTTTTTAATGCGTGCATTCCAAATATGTGTTTCCGCACCAGAATTATTATATATTAGGTGCTACCTGCTATTAATGCAGCCTCGGTTATCTCTGGAGAAGTGTACACGCTGTGAACCCGAATATAAATTCCTCAATTTGCATCTTGCTCGTTATAAATGCCCTCTATCCGACGTTCTCTATCAGATTTTAATCTGGTGTAATGGATTATAGACACAAGCTTATTAATATCTAAATAAGCCGAAACTACTCAGATCACTCAAAGTCGGACCGAATTGTTTTATATATCAACCGAAGCCCTATTGGGATGTATTGTTACTATAATTAGAACTCTCTTGAGTTGTTAACTACAATAGAAACAGATGATGGAGTAACTCGACTCAACGGTTGAGGCGTTTTGTACAAATTTAGACCTTACCAACTCCGTTACAAACAGGCTAACCTCGGGCGCAAGCAATGTATCAATATGGTTAAATTAAAGCATTAAATTCAAAACTGACCTTTTTTTTGTTTTGTTCCCGAAACTAGTTTCATATTTTCTTTTTTTAGTCCACGACTGTATTCGATAAAAAACCAAACTCATCTTATATGTAGGAATCCCAACTTTTGTTCGGGGTGTTAATGAGTTCGGCCCAGGGCAGTTCAACTAAAAGGCAGTGTATGGGAATATCAAAGCTAAAGCGTAACCAACTCTTCATTAGCATTGTATTGTTCCACGAAATTGGAATTCTATATGTCACCTCACCCTCTATTGATTACTGTTGTCTTTGTGCGATTTAGTACTGTCATCTACCTACATACGTACACGTCAATTTAGATATTAATAGAGAAAATGACATAATTGTAATTAATGCTATATCAAGAAAATATTTATTTGCAGACACTCTTCTGTACGTCACGCAGGGCTTTCCATTCGAATCAAACATTAGGGGGAAAAGACATCCACAAGAGAGCGGCTTAGTTTTCCAAACGAATGGTGCTTTAAACCTAGGTGGTCTGAATCTCCCACAAGTGAGAAAACGCCTACACGACCTAGTTGACACTGTGACAAACCCCTTGAATATCCAGATCGTATCCCAGGTGGAGCCTGTAAACTATGAATACGACCAACAGTACGAGTATGGCGATCAACAGTATCAAAATGGCCCTCCCTCTTTTGGACCTCCCCCAGGGGGCCCTCCACATCACGGCCCCCCTCCGCATTACGGTCCTCCTCCAGGCGGCCCCCCACATCACGGTCCTCCTCCTCCTGGGGGCCCCCCACATCACGGGCCTCCTCATGGGGGCCCCCCACATCACGGGCCTCCTCATGGGGGCCCCCCACATCACGGGCCTCCTCCAGGCCCCCCTCCATATTACGGTCCTCCTCCTGGGGCCCCCCCACATCACGGGCCTCCTCCAAGGGGTCGCCATCATGGCCCCCCACCAAGAGGTCCCCCGTATAGACAACCTCCAGACGAACCCGTTTACGAGAATACCAATGAGGAGAACAATGAAAACTTGCCGGGAACGAAGCCCGATTTCAGCCAACAACCGAATTATCCCGGCGATGGTAACTTCGATATGAATGTCGAATACACAAGTAGCACTCCTCCAACGACTACGTCAATAAATTTGGATGAGACGGTTTCGAAGAGGGCCAGTAATGTTTCTGAGTATATAGAAGATAATTTCCCTGTTATATTGTTAAACGAAAATGAAATTAGGTGATTGTTCGGCGTTTTCAATATAGAAAAAGTTAAATTTTGTGTTTTATTTATTTGAAACCAACCAGGAGCAAGTGGAATAAAAACGTAAGTGTTGAAATGATATAATATGAAAGGGAGAAATCATTGAATCGTTGGTATTTAAATCCAGCAAATTCCCGGTAGTAAATCATAACGAGAATTGTATGTAAATTGGTTAGATTAATAACATTTACTCTTCAGATGAGTTAATATCAGTTTCACGAACTTGTCAAACTGGAAAAAGTTTCCTTAGAACGGGATCCCCGACATTTGCGCGAGGTACAACTGCAAATAACTTACCACTAAGATCATTTTTTCGTCTTTTTATGCCTAATTAGACGTAAAATATCGCGTGAATATGTTTATTTGGTTGCCTATTAATCGTCTGGATGTTCACCTATGGACCGAACTCGTACGGGTTTTACCGCAGTGATATCACCTTTCACCTTGGTATACCGAAGCTTCTAATTATTCCGCTACAGGATATATCCTGTATATTATAATTATTACTGAGTTAATTACTGATATATAAAAGAATGGTAAATACTTCGCGTTATAACTTTAGGGAGATGAGTTAATTGTGGTTTTATAATGGGTATAATTGCGGTGTTATTGTTTCATTTTTATTAGAAAATGCGCCTAACATGTGTTAGCTGTCATAACCAGTATTAATGGACAGACTGATGGGCTGGAATTGTGGTGGGGGATTTGAGACAGTTTTAACAACTTGGAAATTCCGAAAAAAAGATATGTTAATTATATGAAAATGTTTTGGGTAAAAAAACAATTGTAGTAAGATATTCTGAAAAATTGGGTGAAAGATGGGTGAAAAGTTCAGTTGGAAATAAAATTAATTAATGTTTTGTTATGTAAAAAACTATAAATATCGATAATTTTTTAAAATAAAAATCGATGATGCAAAATTCTATAAATATCTATAATTTTCTAAAATAAAAATTATCTATTTTGCGGTTAAGATTTCTTTAAAATTTACGGTGCAATCTATAAATATTGCTTACAAAAAACTTCTATAATCTTTAAAGTGATGAGAAATAAAATTAGATCCGTCGAAAAAAATGTAGAATATCATTGAAAATGGAAACATCTCGTACAAAGAAATTTTTTGTAAATAGCATTCATAATATTGACTTAGGATGTTTAATTTAGCATATGATAACTATTTTGTAAATATTGGAAAAACAATGATTATGTAAGCAAATATGTATAATATGTATGTCATACTTACTCTGAGTAATGTTTATTTTTGTTTCTTAGAATAATGATTAACAAAAATACAATACGAACAATTCTTTGATCATGGACGCCACTAAAAACATCCAAAATTTTGCATAAATAATATTGTACAATTTTTATTTTTTTTTAATTATCACCACAGTTTTAAGTAACATTTTTATATATTTTTTTTTAAGAAAACTGTTAATATTTGAAATAAAAAGCCCATAATTTGATGGAGATAGACTGTAAAAAAAAAACCGTTTTAAGTGAAAGCAATAAAGGTTCGGAGTGAATCCATTGTGTGAAATTATTGAGTACATTTTCATTCAATATTGGGCATTTTGATCATTTTACTCATTTGTGATTATATTTAAACTAAAACTGAGGCCTTTCACTCAAATATTTGTAGGTACTCCTTAAATAAATTCTTCACGTAAACTCGTATTTGGTTCATTTGTACCTAAATCAGAGTAAATGTCCTCACTTTCATATTTTGGTAATTTTTCCTACAGAATATACATAAACTATAATATAGCTCAAGAAAGTTAGCACAAAATTATTTTTTAGTTAGAGTAAATCTGACAAAACCAGCGTTTTCAGCGAGCTCGAAAACGTATATTTGGCTGCTTTTATAAAGGTTTTGGGCACTTTCATATTTTGGTAATTTTTCCTACGGAATATACATAAACTATAATATAGCTCAAGAAAATTAGGACAAAATTTTTTTTTAGTTAGAGTAAATCTGACAAAACCAGCGTTTTCAGCGAGTTCGAAAACGTATATTTGGCTGCTTTTATAAAGGTTTTGGGCACTTTCATATTTTGGTAATTTTTCCTACGGAATATACATAAACTATAATATAGCTCAAGAAAATTAGGACAAAATTTTTTTTTAGTTAGAGTAAATCTGACAAAACCAGCGTTTTCAGCGAGTTCGAAAACGTATATTTGGCTGCTTTTATAAAGGTTTTGGGCACTTTCATATTTTGGTAATTTTTCCTACGGAATATACATAAACTATAATATAGCTCAAGAAAATTAGGACAAAATTTTTTTTTAGTTAGAGTAAATCTGACAAAACCAGCGTTTTCAGCGAGTTCGAAAACGTATATTTGACTGCTTTTATAAAGGTTTTGGGCACTTTCAGATTTTGGTAATATGTCTTACGGAATATACATAAACTACAATATAGCTCAAGAAAATTAGGACAGAATTTTTTTTTAGTTAGAGTAAATCTGACAAAACCAGCGTTTTCAGCGAGTCCGAAAACGTATATTTGGCCGTTTTTATAAAGGTTTTGGACACTTTCATATTTTGGTAATTTTTCCTACAGAATATACATAAACTATAATATAGCTCAAGAAAATTAGGACAAAATTTTTTTTTAGTTAGAGTAAATCTGACAAAACCAGCGTTTTCAGCGAGTTCAAAAACGTATATTTGGCTGCATTTATGAAGGTTTTGGCCACTTTTATATTTTGGTAATTTTTATATAAATAAACCATATATAATATAGCTCAAGAAAATTAGCACAAATTTTTTTTTAGTTAGAGTAAATCTGACAAAACCAGCGTTTTCAGCGAGCCCGAAAACGTATATTTGGCCGTTTTTATAAAGGATTTGGACACTTTCATATTTTGATAATTTTTCCTACAGAATATAAATAAACTATAATATAGCTCAAGGAAATTATGACAATATTTTTTTTAAGTTAGAGTAAATCTGACAAAACCACCGTTTTCAGCGAGTCCGAAAACGTATATTTGGCCGTTTTGATAAAGGTTTTGGTCACTTATAATTTGGTAATTTTTCCTACAGAATATAAATAAACTATAATATAGCTCAAGAAAATTATGACAATATTTTTTTTAAGTTAGAGTAAATCTGACAAAATCAGCGTATTCAGCGAGTCCGAAAACGTAATATTTGGCCATTTTTATAAAGGTTTTCGGCACTCATATTTTGGTAATTTTTCCTACAGAATATACATACTCTATAATGTAGCTCAAGAAAATTAGGACAACATTTTTTTTTTAATTAGGGTAAATCTGACAAAACTAGCGTTTTCAGTTAGTTCGAAAACGTAATATTGGGCCGTTTTTATAAAGGTTTTGGGCACTTTCATATTTTGGAAATTAAGAACAAGAAACTCAACAAAACAACTCAAGAAAATTAGGACAAATTTATTTTAGTTAGAGTAAATCTGATAAAACTCGTATTTAGTGCACTTCAAAACTATCAAAATCAAAACTATGCACAACAAATAAAAAACATTAGATAATATTTTATTTTCCTTCTACAAATTTGGTACTGATTTTGCAATCATAGCTGACTTTTCTGTCTCCTGTACAAATGACCTTTGAGATTTTAACGGTGAAGATATTATAGACTTGAAAAATTACAATTTTTTGGTAGTTCATTTACACGAAAGCTTGAAAGTAAATTTAATCAAAGAAGTACAGCATTTGTTGCTTTTTCTGGCCGAGTATGTAGGCGTTAGAAAAGGCGTATTTAAATAATGTATTATCTCTCGATGCTAGTTTCTAACTGTTAGTGACTGCCATATTTGAACGAAGATATGTCGTCGATGCCTTGAAGGTAATAAATAAAACATTTTGATTTCATGAATTGATAAGTTGCAGCCTCTTCAAGTCTTACCAACGTGAAATCGACAGAACTGGAAAGGAAAGATATTTTTTAAGTTGAGTTTATTGAAACTATAATAACATTTTTATTTCTTCCACGAATTTTCGTTATTAAAATTCATAACGTACTATAAGATTGGATTACGTAGTTTTTAAACAACGTTTCGTTTGTTTCTTCTAAAACGTAACGCTTTATGAATCGTTGTGTTGAATGACATAATGGAAACATTGGCGAAATTAGCCTGACGTGAGGTGAGAATTTTTGTTAATGTTAATACGCGCGTGTGTATCTGTACCAAAACTGACCATGCGCTAAATTGTTTATTTATTTATTTTGCGTAACCTTAGTAGCAAGCTGTGAACTTGACACCGAGATAACTTACTTGCATCTTGTGTGCATTTTTGCATCTCAGTCGTAACGGGACCGTAGCTTTCCATGTAAGTAATTATAGCTTTTTTACTACGCCAAAAGGATGTTTCGTTAATTACTCGAGGAAAAATAACTTGTTTTATGTAAATCGGGAACGATCGTCTTCGCTCGGATTATTTAAAAATTACCTGTAAGGTATAAGACTGCTTAAACGTGGATGGACAATAAGAATTAATACAATCTTTGGTTATCTCTGTGAAAGATGATCGCTTTTTCTCTTGCCGTTCTCAGCGTGGTAGCTGGGGGGGTCTCAGCAGGCTATGCAGGTGAGTTTATTTGATTATAACCTGTGCATCGCTTAACGCTACTTCTGCATTTATGTAACTTGACGATTTTGCGTGTTGAAATTATTTGATCTAGAGATTTCGGCTTTTAATTAACTTTACTGAATTTTCTTAATGTATCTTCAACTAACGCAGTGCACCTTTAGGGAAAATTTAAGCGTCACATTTTTAATCACGGGGACATAAATAATAGGGTTATAAAATTATTTTTTTTATATTTTCGTAAGACGCGTCAAACCGAAAGAGCTCAAATTTTTAAACTTGCTCCGCTAGGGTGTTCCGAGGCAAAGGCATTGCTAGTTAAGATTCTGATTCTACGTTGCGTCCTGTTATTAAAGTCGCGGGAAACTTTTAATAGAAAAGCTCTTTGTGATAAACTTCCGCATAACTTAAATTCATTTTCTTCTCTGTAAGCGTAATTTTCTGCAGCCAAAAGCAGGTGAGCAACTCGGAAAAGGAATTTAAGGGATGAAAGCGTTTTTCGAAATTTCGCATTGCCCCGCGAAATTCCTAATATAGTATACAGTGAGACAAAAAATGAGGACTTTTTTAAATTATTTTAATTGGGACTAGCCCTAAAAGTGCAGTAAAATAGTGTTTATGGTTTAAGTAGGTCAAAATATTAATTAAAATTAACCTATCGCCTTTCATATTTAATTCTGTACTTAATTTAAAACAACATAAAATATGCCGTGCCTTGGGAATGTTGCTATACAGGGTGGTTCACTTAAAGATGCTCACCCCGAAATTATAAAAAATTATACCTTTGTTTTTTTCTGCAATTTTTCTTTTTTGAAATTCTTCATACCATAAAGAGAAAGCTTTATAGACTGTAAATGTTCAGTACTTTATATCTTACATCGAATTTTTTTAAACCTTCTAGATTCTGATTGCAGATAGTGCACCTCTTCACAATTTTCACATTCTTTTTATGGAGATATATCACCTTTTTGTGTAACTTGGCCAACTTTAAAATCTCTGTGTAGCTTCAACAAACACTAAAAATGTGGTGCTTACAAAGATCTGATAGTGATATATGTCTGCGTGGGGTGAAATAATTATTTGTTGTTTTTCGGCGTTGGGCCTCGTGCAAAAATATTTAACAAGCGGGAATGGATGCTTAAACATAAAAGAATTAATCACTTGCTTAACAATCTGCTTTCTCTGTTGCGTAACTTGATGACACCGTGATCATTTGTTTCGTGAATCGTTCGTACGAAAAATATCGCAAGAATTAAATATCGACGCTGCAACCGTTGCAGACGCCAATGTTATTTTGAATGCCGCATTGAATCCAACGTGAGTTTGAAAATGTTTAGGAAAGCGGGATCGAGTTGCCTTATTTTATAAAGCGGCAAAACTCCTCCTGAAGATTGATTAGCTAATTTTACTACGGTTTTGAATATCGGAACCTTGCATTTCAGCAAAAAGTTTGTTCGAGTGAGAAGCTTTATTGTAAAGAGAGTCATTCCAAAAGTGAAAGAGTTGCCAGGGTGAAAGTGCATTCATTTCGTGCCTGCAGTAATTTTAAAACATTAAAGACAAAGTTCAGGGTTAAAAACAATCCCTTTCATTGATATTAACGTTATGCAAGACGTGTGCGCGTCGAAAATATTGTAATTAAAGTTGTTTTATCGTCCCTTTCTAAAATCTTGTTTATGAATATTACTTAAAGCGAAGAGTGAAAACCTATAAATCTATAATTCGTGAGGATAATTGGTAATGTTTTTAAATAATTTAAGGTTATACAGCTTAATCTGTAACAAATCCCATTATTTGTTCAATGAGAAATTTACTGAGAAGTTTCTAACAAACATTATTATAGCTAGTAGCCATAAATGTTGAGTTTTCATTAAATAATGTCTTTGTTATTTCGTTAACTGCGTATTTGTAATTAAGATCTAAAAATAAACATGTATTTTTTTATGAATTTATGCACTGCATTTCAATGGCACACATGTTCAATCTATGAACTTTAAATAAAGCTGATTGCTCAATAGAAAATTTAAACATGAAGATTACACCATTGTTGATAGATTGTTGCATTCAGATAAACATTCAAATGTTCGAAGCCATTATTTACCGGAATATTAAATCGGATTTAAATTCGTGAACGCTGGTGTAGAATAATTATTTACTCTGTAAATTAAAACGATTTTTTAAATCTGTATTTGTTTTCGACTGTTGTCAATATCCACTTTGTACGGTTTTCCTTGAAATATGTAAATATGCTAAAGGACAACTTCCTAGAAAGATTATCAAAGAAACATTATTAGAGAAATTGAATTGATATACAGGGGAGTACATAGTCGCCAGTTACAGGGTGTTTAAGTTCCAAAGAACCTTACAAACAGAGTAAACCAGCCACTTCAAATAAGCGGAAATCGTAAAACCCTCCAAAATTATACTTATTTTAATTTAGTACTAGTACAATGTAGAACAACGCTATGCTATTAAGAATTCTGTCACCGCGGTCTCGTGGGGTGAAAACTTGATCAGAATGGATTTACTAAGCGATTAGGCCTATTTAACTTTCGAGGATGACTAAAATTCCTCCTGTATTTGACATGATATTGCTAATATAATGTAGAACGATTTTTTATAAAAATTTCTGTCACCGCTATCTTAAGGGGTGAAAACTTGATCAGAATGGATTTACTGAGCGATTAGGCCTATTTAACTTTCGTGGATGACTAAATTCCCCCTGTAACTTCATAATTAAAAGAGATGTGTTAACCAATATTTGACAAGGCACTGCTAGTACAATGTAGAACAACGCTTTGCTATCAAAAATCCTGTCACCGCGGTCTCAGGGGGTGAAAATTTGGTCAGAATGGATTTACTGAGCGATTAGGCCTATTTAACTTTCAAGGATGATTAAAATTCCCCCTGTATTAATATTTGACATGATATTGCTTATATAATGTAGAACAACGAGTTTTTATAAAAAATTCTGTCACCGCTGTCCCAAGGGGTGAAAACTTGATCAGAATGGATTTACTAAAAATAGGAAATATGAAATGCACAAGTATGGAAACAAAGGATAATATAATATGATTGACTGCCGTTAAATAAGCTCCCTTTTCAGTTCGTGATCTAACATTTATGTCATTCATCAAAATAAAAGTTACACTTCAAAATTTCCGTCTGTTTTGATGGAATTCAAATGTTTGCAAATTTTATACTGGAATAATTGAACCAGCCAGAAACGTGTTTCACGTTTCTCTTGTTCTATGTGTGGAACAATTCTTCTTTACATAGTCGATATATTTTTTGTTGGTTTGCACGCTATAAATTTTAATTTAATCAAATAACTGAAACTCAGTGGCGAGCAACTTTTGATTTCGACGCCTCTGGAAGAAATGGGTACGTCAATGACACACAATCATTAATTTTAAAATAATTAACACTCTCCGAACAATAAAAAATAATAATGCCTCAACCCCGTCCCACACAATCGTGTTTAGATGAGCGTTGGGATTCTTAATTCAAGTCTATTTATAAAAAAGTGTATGGGACAGTAATTATGTAACAAGTCCATAGTGTCTCTTTCGCTTTGTATGTTTAGGGCTTTTATTTACGTGTATCGAAACCGCTCCCTAACAACCCCCAATAATAGGATTTAATTTAGGGTTTGTCGCCGGGCATGCATTGGGTCTACTGTTAATAATTGCTCTTTGATGGAAATGCCTACATTAACAAGCAGGGTAAACTTAATCAAGATATGTAAGAAAATTATGTTTTTCTTTCTTTTGTTTCGTGGGTCTATTGATGAGGTTTGTCAACCCCGGAACGTGCCTGTGTTTGCGGCAACGGATTTGGATTGTTTTGGTTTGCAAGTTTGCTATTTATAAGTGTTTTAACTGCCGTGCATGTCTAATGTTTATTAATTGAATAAAAAATTCCAAAACCCAATTAAAGTTGGCAATAAATATGCTAAATTCGTACTAATTAATTGATATCAACTACTAAAATCTATTCACAACATTTAAATTCGCCGGACTGTGAAGCTTCTGTTTACGAAGCTGCCCGGAAATCCCACTCGCGTATGCATGTTCGCTTCACGAGATAATTTAATAAAATTTTCGAGGAAGAATTTATATATTAGATGCTGTTTAATGTGGGCGAATTAAAAACGTATCGATTGAAACTTCCAACTGAAGGAAAGGAAGGAAATATATAATACCAAAAGAGAGATACAATTAAATGAAGTTAACCAGACAGTTGATTATTTTTTGGGCTTCGTACTGAGGTGCTGTTTATAAGATTACTGCCTCGAATATTTCTGTTTATAAATTCTCCAAATGAGGTTTGTTATTGTACCGACTGTATTTTAAAACTCCGTAATAGGATCAAATTTCATGGAATGCCTTTTTTACGTTCTTCAACTTTACCGTATAAAACTCTCCAAACTCCGCTTAATAAAACTAGTAACTCGTTTGGCTGAAGATATGAAACAAACTCAAATTTGTGCACTTTTTACTTTGGAGTGCCCCAAGGGGCTCCACTTTAAGCCTCATACACGTTATTTTTCGGTTTTCAGTACATGAAAACAGAAAAAATAAACTACAATCTGTCGGGCACGGAAAAACTAGTAGTCAAAATTTAACGCGAAACGAGCGGCCTTCTAAAATTTCGGGACAGGTCAGTCGTTTTATCCTCCTACTCCTACGAACGTTGAAACAGATATCGATTCCGTCGACTAGGGCAAGGCTTTGGAGACAGTAAATTCTTAAAAGGAAGTTCCTTTATAAAACATTATTGGGGATTATTACTGTTTATTGCTATATGAATTTTCTGCGATACTTGCCAGAGTCAACTAATAATTGAGTCAAACAGGGTGGTCACTTCATGCTCGTTAGCAACTGAGAACTTTTGCTGGTACTCTCAGAAAAATATTCGATGATTCTTTAATTTTTGCTTCCCTTTCTAAAGGTCCACGAGTCTTTGATAACATAGCCACACAAAAAAAAGTTGTCTGTACTTTTCATGCGACGTATGTTAAACGTAGTATTTTTACCTCCCGAGCACGAATCCGGTGTCAGAATTGAGCTATCACATCACAGGAATTTCCTAACCTCAAAAAACAGGTCAAAAATAGTAAAAATTCACGAAAAAGTGCTTGGAAAAATACAAAAAATTTCTTTTTTCTATATTCAAATGTTCATTTATATGGTTAACACCCCGCCGAACGTGAACCCGCGGTCGGAATTGATGGTTCTTTTTCTAACCTCAAAAAACTGGTCAAGTAAGGTCAGATATCACGAATTTTCAAAAAATAACCCATTCGCTCTAAATTTGGTATACGGGGGTTTTCGGGGTCGCTGATCACGGATCCGAGGTGAATTTTGCAAAATTCAAGATGGCGGATCCAAGATGGCCGACCAAATTTTCAAAAATATCAAATTTGGCGCTAATCTGTTATTTTCTGAAAATTCGTGATATCTGACGTTAATTGACCCGTTTTTTTAGGTTAGAAAAAGAACCATCAATTCTGACCATGGATTCACGTTCGGCGGTGACTTAACCATATAAATGAACATTTGAATATAGAAAAAATATTTTTTGTATTTTTCCTAGCACTCTTTCGTGAAGTTTTGCTATTTTTGAACTGTTTTTTGAGGTTAGGAAATTCCTGTGATATGATGGCTCATTTCTGACACCGGATTCGTGATCAGGAGGCAAAAATACTACGGATAACATATGTCGCATGAAAAGTATAAACAATTTTTTTTTGTGTATAATTAATTATTCGGGAAATCTAAGCAGAGTTTTATTGGATGTTTTTCTCATAAAAAAGTTCTTTTCAATGCAAGAAACTTAAAAGTATACCAAGGAAACCCCGAAATGTTGAAACCGCTGCAATTTTTCGTTCATTAAGATCCGATCAATTTTGCATCTTTTATTCATTTTTTTAAATTGAGTGTTTTTTTCGCAAAAATCCATATTTTTTTCTATCCTATAATTTCTTAAAGATGGCTATATACGATCATTTTTCGCTAAGTTACAGCCTTTTCAAAGTCACCAAAATATTTAGGATTAGTTTTAATCCCTTAATTTTTGTGTCTAGTTTGTTTGTTTGAGATCGTAAGAATATTTCAAAAAAGTTAAGGGTGGGGAGTGTGGGAGGGCGGGGTTAAATGTTATGCATATATCCCAGTAAAAATTGTACTACTCTTTTGCACACAATCGAAGTCAGAAAATCACATACATCTTAAATATTTTACGCAATTCTCATTGAAAAAATCAGTATAAAAGAAATTGGAAACATCCTTATTCGTATAGAATGAAATATGTAACCTGCAGAAGATTAAGCGTGATAATAAACTAAGGAAGGGCAATGTAGAAGTAGAATAAAGGAGGATAACTAAAATGTATGGGTGTAGAAGGAAAACACAATGGATCTCCTCTTTGAAATATTACAGAAAAGCAGCTGTTCAAAGTTGCTGGTCGACTTTGTCCCGTTCAGAAACCTGCTGTGATTTTTTTGTATAACTACATTTTTACTATTAATTTTAAGAATCAGCATTAAGTGAATATTATTCCTAAAAAATGTAAAACCTGCTTGGCCACCGTGTGAAAACTTTGAAATGTATATTTAGAAGCAAAAGTCACCTTGTATAGTTTGCCTTAAAACTTTAACTTTCCCTAAAATAGATGGCAATGAAATAAATTAATCTTACCTAGCGACGCTCATTTCTTGTATCGCTGAAATAAACTATAAGCCAAATACATTTTTTTGCCTCCTGTTACGTTTTAGAGATTGAATTTATGTGTTAATCGTTTTCTTTTCATTAAAAAGGTAATGAAACGTGAAAGTGGGCTTAAATTAAATGGGACGTAGGGAATATAACGACATGATATAATTTGCCGTGAACCACCCGGTCCAAACGGCTTGAGCATAATACCAAATTGTATCGATTTGTAATTAAAAGCTATTACTTTATATTACATCCCTATTTTACTTGTCAAACGTAATAATAATTCAGGTGGCACAACGGTTAAGGTGTTTATAGCTAAAATATATACATTAATATATTATTTATAATGTAACGGCTAATAAAATTTAAATACCAGTTAGTCCCTTACCCTGAAAGCTAAGACTTTAGCCAGCAAGGCGTGGTGGTGGTATTACATATACAGGGTGATTCAGAACTTATTGCAAAAAAACTTTTTTGAATGTAGGAGGGACTCTAAATACCGTCTTTCACTGCTGCGCGATGGTAACCATAACCACCACTGTAAACACTTTACCAATTTAGATTTAATGTGTTTCATAAGTCTAATCGATTTAATAGATAACATTGTAGCCACTTATATATTCAACAACTTATGTCACTAACGTATGTTACTTGAAGGTTCGAATTCTGGAAACGACTTAGGTTATGGTGGTTCAGGGGATTCCTATGGATACGGATATTCCGGAACCTTTTCAGGCAGCGAGCCCGTACCGAACTTCGAATTTCCAGGGTTCGATTTTCCTGGATTTGTAGGCAACTACGTCAATTCCTTGAGCAGACACCACGAAGACTTTATCAGAAAGTAAGTTTGTATCGTTCGAAATAGCTTTTACCGTTGTTGAATGAGGAAAGTATGCATTGGTGTTTGGTCTTGGTTCGTTGAATCTTTAATAAAGAAATATAGCGATTTGGAAAACGAAGAAAAATGTAAATAATTTTAAAAACGTGTATTGTCCCTTTTGTTATATTTTCTCTAGTCTTTTCCTGTTCCATGGCGTGGATTTAAGTGGATTTGCAGATTTTCGTATTTCTGAAAGTGAATAAGGATATTAACTGACTTTAGTATCGATATAAAGCATCTTAAAATTCGCTAACGTTTATATTTGAATTGTTGCCGGCGTAAGAAGATTATCGTGGCAAAGCCTACTACTTCGCATTTATATAATCGCTTTTAGTGGATTATTTTTCTGGATGCCGTCCATTAGAGGAATTGGGTTAATTATTTGCCTGTGACAATGAAAGCACCTGCAGTTTTTATTGTCACAGAGAGGCGTCAGATTTTCGTATGCAATTTTAGCACGTTATACTTTTAGTAGACCGGAATATGAATCGTTTTAAAGTACAGTTTGCGTGGGGCTTTTAATGAGTATTTGACGTGTGATAGAAGCAACAGTGAGCGAGTGAGAATAATCTACTTAATTTGAATCAGAGTAACCAAAACGTTGAGATTCTATGCATTGGCCATGTTTTGGTGGACAGATTCATACTACAAATTTTAATTTCCTTAACCTGTTTTACATTTTTTAACCAACAAATTGTTACGATTCTCTATACAGGGTGTTCTGCTTGTACTTAAAAGGGCGAACTTAAAAAATATTTATTTTATTTACTTTAAATTAATATAAATATTTACAATTTCATTGTTTGATATCTTGTGCCACTTAATATTTTTATATTTACTTACAAAGAGCTTAATCTTCATTTTTACTTTTAATATATTTTTCTTCATTTATACCCCTCCAGCTATTCTTATTCACGCCACTGTCATCGGAGATAAAACGTTTGCATGTTTGTCTTAAGACGCAGTTGATATTTGTAAGTGTGCCAATGTTGACATGTTTAATTTTTAGTCGATTTAAATATAATTAAGAAAAGCTTTTGTGAATGTAACAGTTTCAACACCCCATATCTCGGAAACAGCGTGCTAGTTTTTCTGATGTATAAACGGGACACCTGTATTTACTTTTCACGCTTTACAACAAATTGGCCAATTTACATGTCACATTTGAGGCTACCGATACCAAACCACAAACCATAATAGACCTATAACTTGTGTCAGACTTACGTAACTGCAATAACGATGCATATGTATATTAGACCAGGGCGGATCTGTTTTGAGGTGGATGTGAGAGGGGGCAAGCAATTTTTTTCTGGATTACCTTCAGTACAACTCACATAATAAAAGTGTAGATCCCTAGAAAAAAAGGCAAAATAATCAAGTTTTATGGATAATTTTTTAAAAACATTTTAATTGCTCCTAGGGCATTCTAATTTTGGTTAAAAAAAACTTAAGAGTATAATAAAACAATACACCGAATTTCATTAAAATCGGTATTACGTATTAAATTATTATTATTATTTTTAGTTTAAATTACTATGAAATTGACCAAAGTGGGATTAATTCAAGAGCGATTTTCTCAGAAACCGTTAAAGATGACGATTTAAATCAAGAGTACCTTTTTGACGTAAAACAGTTCGGGAAAACGGAATTTGCTGTCCAATTTGTTAAAAAGTCAAAGATGAAAAAGTTACACACGCAAAGTACCAAGGGCCCCCCCGTACCCACCCCAATGGACCTTGTGGAAATAAATGGATTAGTCCATCAAATTGCTCATCAAAATTTAGCTGTGTATACCAAATTTCATTCATTTATCACAACGCGATTGAGAGATATTGCAAAAAATGATTTCCATTCCTCCCTCTTCAATGGGTGCCTGTGCCCTTAGGAAGCATTTCGGGACCCTTGTTCATATGAACTTTTTTACTTAGTTTTGATCATAGAATCGGCCTGTTCAGGGTTGGCAGCTAATTATGAGACACCCTGTATACGTAAACAAATTTTTTCATAGAAAAAATACAATAGCATAGGGTAAAATATACAGTATATGTAATGCATAAATAATAAACTTTGTTTATAACAAAATATGTGCAAATTAGACACTTGCGAGTCATCGGATTAAGAAAAAAGATCGAAATTGGTCCAATAGAAACCGAGATAATGCAATTTTTTTCGTACCTTCGCATTTTGAACCTCCAAATTCAGTCTCGGAGCGAAAGCCCCCGCCCCCACATTTCGTGGTTTGAGTCACTTTTCGCACGTGCGAGCGACAGCTTTTCCGCTGATTTATCTAAGTTGCCGCTAACTTATGGATATGAAAATTTTTTCCAGATTAGAACTCGGAAAACGAAGTCACTGGATCAAAGATTGTTGCTAAATTGTTTATAAATTAACGGTAAATACCGATAAATTTTGACCGCTTATATTTCGAGAACCAATAAACGGAATACATATAACTTTTTTTTTTAAAGAAGCGTCTTTCCGAGTACTTTAAAATTATAATTTTTGAAAAAAACTAAATTGCAAATTGATGAATGTAATCTAAAAATAAAAAAGAGTGTCAACTTTAAAAATTTACTGTGGCCGTCCTAATCAACCGATTTCAATTTTTCAAAAACCATTTGAAAGGTTGGGCGGGCTTTTCTTTGTGAAAAAATTTTCAAATATCTAGATGCTTTATTTGAAGCTGTGCAACATTTTGAAAAATTCGAAAAATTTTTTTAATATTTATTTCATAACATTATTTTGCGAAAACTATAGAACCGATTTTAATGAAATTTGGTGCGTTGTTTTATTATACTCTATAAAGTTTTTTTTACCAAAATTAGAATGCCCTCGGAGCAATTAAAATATTTTAAAAAAGTTATCCAAAAAACTTTCCTTTTTTTCATCAATTATTGCTATTTTGCAACATCGGTAATAAATTTAAACATTTTTAACTTAACAGTATACTGTGCAAAATTCAATTCCAAAACTTTTTTCCTTTTCAATATTCTTCCAAAATTCAGAGGCTCCAAGATATAAGTAAAAAACTCTGATAAAGTAGATATTTTTTAAAATTTTTTGAACATTTTTGCAATTTTGAAAATGTTCCGGACCTCGCCCAGATCTAGGGATCTACACTTTTATTATGTGAGTTGTACTGAAGGTATTCCAGCAAAAATTAGCTTGCCCCCTTTTACATCCAAGGAGTGGGATATTTCGACAGATCCGCCCTGGTCTATATGTATTTTTTAAATATTTAAAATAAAAATGTCAGAATTGAGTATAATTAAAATTCTTAGACTGTATAAATGTTAAAAGTCACTAAAAATCCCCGAAATTGCAAATGCAGTAGAACCTCGATAATCCGAACTAATTAGGACCGAAGGTAGTTCGGATTATTAAACGTTCACTTGAACACACAGCAAATACAGGTTTCAGTAATGTAACTGTCGAAACTTTAATCACAATTAAAATAAAAACAACCTGAACAGGAATCAACCAGAAAGAGACGAAATTACATGTAGTACTAATTTGTTTGCCCTGTGGCTATGTCGCTTATCTCGCTCTCCTACCTGACCACGTGATTTATATCGTTCGGATTAGTGGGGGGTTCGGATTATCGAGGTTCTGCAGTAAATTAGAACCAATCCCGTTTTCTCCAAGCTCTTGGCCAATTTATTGAAACTAAGATATGTGCCACAATTTATGTATTACGTGTACCACTATAACTTGGCCAATAATTTCTTGATAAATATATTGGGTGACAAATTGTTAAATGTAAAACAGGTTTTATATTTCTCAGCATAAATTTGAGAATTAAGTAGTCCAAATCGTTTTATTTCTTACCAAAAGACATACTGAAATGTTACTTAATGTTTTCTTCAGTTTTGCACTTTCTCTGTAGAGGTGGTGGTGTTTTAAGCTATTCTTACGCTTCCTCTAGTCCAACAGCTAGCGCTAGAGCCCAGTCTTCCTTAACTTTCAAAAGTAGTAACGGGTAGGTACCCCTTAAAAACCAGTTCCACCGTTCTAAGATATATTTCGTATTATTACTCATTAAAATTGCATCTCAGAACGTTGGACGTACGAATTAAGTGAAATAACGTAACTTGCATGTGTTAATTTATTTTAATAGTCCTTATGGTAAGTGGTTAGAACAATTTAGTTATATTCCTCTTTTTTTCAACACTTGGCACTTGGGTGAATGTTTCAGCTTACAAGCCCACGTCGGTTATGGCCAACCGGGAGGTTATTCTGGAGGATTTGGAGGATCTTTTGGAAGCGGAAACGACGGAGCATTTAGTGGTAGTTACTCCGGACCTGAAACTTATTCTTATTCCTCCCCAAACACCGGACCACGTGTTTACCCCGAAAGCATAAATTTCGCTCAGAGGGGTGCCTTCGGAGGCCCAGGGTCTGGAGCGGCTTCTTCAAGTGCATCGATCGGACCTGGAGGAGTCCATCAAACTGCTGCCGTGTACCCGGAAAATCCAGTAAGTCGAACAGTTCGAAGTATAACATTCATTCGTTCTTACCATATCTTTTTTTTTTTTAGAAAAAACCAAATGTTAATACCAGATACGCGGCACCGGCAGGTGGAGCTTTCCGCAGCGTTATCACCGCCAGCGAAAGCCGCACAAGTAGCGTCGGCGGTAAGCCAGTGACTGTGCAGAAGGCACAGACCACTGTGAACGATAACGGAAAAGTTACCACTTACATAGTTGAAAACCCATAATTATAAAATTATACTGTACTTATATTTTGTATTATATTTCTAAATATTCTTAATAAACAACCTTTAAGCTTTTTATAATGATCGTGTTATTTGTCTTCTAAATTGCAAACGTACTTTTTTTAGGGAGAGCTTCCAACGAGAGGTAGTTCAACTCTAACATTTCGTTGAACTTGTGGAAAAGTAATTATTGTAATTAAAATAAACTACCTACAGAGGCTTTCAAGGAGAATTTTATGTATACAGGGTGGCCCGAAATTAATGCAACTTCAATGGCTTTCTAGCTAATTAATAATTTTTAAGAAATTCGAATTTTCGACCAAATTTTTTTGGTTCCAAAGACAAGGGGGCCCACGAAAAAGTGTCTTAAGGGGGTTCCTCGCCAAAAAGCGTAGCACTATCAGATTCCACATGTCATAAAACCCCTGTGTACCAAATTTAGTGATTATCGTACAACAGTATTCTGAGATACAGGGTAGGAAAGTACCGATGGTCTATCTGAAGTTACGTGAGAGCGATAAAGTAAGCCATAGAAATCCATGCGATAGAGAAGGATGGCTATAATGAAGGCGTCTCATAGTCACCGCCCGTTTCGCCCTTCCACAAATAAGATCCACTTCTTATTTGTGAAAGGGCGAAATGGGCGGTGACTATTAGACGCCTTCACTATACCCATTCTTGTCTATCACATGGATTTCTAACTTCAGATAGACCATCGGTACTTTCCTACCCTGTATAAAAAATACTATTCTTAGGGGCAGATTTTAGGGGACTGTAACTCCGAAAGAGGAGTCCACTTGGCAAAAAGAAAAAATACGGGTCCCTTAAATTTATCTTAAGAATCTATGACCAAAATTTGTTGCATTAATTCCGGGTCACCCTGTACAGGGTGTGCAAAAAATTATTAAGCGTTAAGGAGAATTTAGATGAATCATTTGTAATCAAAACTTTTGCACCTCTTGAGCGATTTATTTGTGGTTTAGGATATCTATAATTTTTTTACGATTTCTCTCCAAACTCCAAACATAGAGAAAAAAATAAATAATAGAGAAGGTTATGCTAAAATCACGCCTAAAAAGATGGCGGCAACTATATCACTGATAATTCAACGATCTTTCGAGTCGCGACCAAAAGTCGGGACTAGAAAAAGTACTATTTTGATGTTCAACTGGTTTACATTTCTACTACTTTTCTGGGCATACGGTACTGAGTAATCATTAATAAACTATCTTTCACTTAACAATCCTTGGAAGGATCATAGACCACTAGGAATCATCTTAAAGAAAAAAATGTAACTTGTCTATTTCTTTGTTTTAACGTAAAAAGTAAGCTCTAAAAGTGTATTACAATTTACATCCTGTATATGAATAATATTTGTCAATTTGTGATTATTGCATACAGGGTGTTAGAAGTTTGACTGCCTTAATTTTGCCTGCTTAATTTTATAAAATAATTAGCGTTGTAATAAATTTAAAATTCGATAAAATTCATATCGTGCAATGTGACAACGGGGGGCGGTTTATTAACACGAGGTACTAAGGTGTCCAGCAACTACTAATACGCAATTCAGTTGGTATCTGGATTCGACCGTGTCGGAGTGTTTTTTGCGTACCACTATTTCTTTTTCTTGAGGTGTTTTATATTTTTCAAATACGTAATTTGATTCAGAGTTAAGTTCCTGTTTTAAGAGATTCATAATTACTAAAATTCGAGCTAAAATTTGAGCACAACACTATCTTCGTACTACAAAATCGATACATTTTATTTTATTTATTTAAAAACTGGAAAACAAAATTGTCTTGAAATTTACTAAATGTTTCACAATAATATCTGTTTACATTTTTTCCGTAGGACAAGTCTGCCGCGTGTACACGTGGTGTGCATCGGCAGGTTAAGCGCTGTTGTCACGTTGTGATGAAACTCCCCAATATTAATACTGGCTGTATTTTGAAAACTGTTATGCCCCTGTAATATACAACTTTTTTGTTCATTTATGATGACAGTCAAACTTCTTACACCCTGTAGCTCATTTAAAATTTTCAGAACACTACAGGAATAACTTTAAATAACATTTATTTATTGGTAATTTTCTAAGTACATATCTCTCCTCTGTCATATTAAAAATGTACCATGCACTAGAAGGTTTTTGTGAATATTTATAATTTTATTTTTATAGACACTTTTTAATCCATAAAATAATTTAAAATCCTCAATTCAACGGCGCCAGTTTGTCGTTAATCTGAGATCCGGGATCATTAAACGATGGAACCTTCCTTTCCACGTCAGGGTACCATCTTAAGCCATTACCAGCTTCCGGATGTTCCTCTTTGCATGTACACTTCACCCCTTCCCCTCCTATGGTACTACCGTGTCTGTGAGGTACCACTTTCCTGTTCCACAGGGATGGTGTCCATGTTGATTTGATGGTCTTAAATTCTACAGGGTTAAAACCATTAGGTCTCTTGGAATACCAAACGTACTGTGGTGGGGGATTTTCGCCATAGTAATGGTTGTGGTAGGAGGGGTCAAAGTAGGGAATTTTGATTTCTATCCCATTCTCTTTATATTTAATATCTTTATTACCTTCAGAACCACCAGACACAGACGAAAGTGGTTTGAACCCTTCAGAGTTACCTGTTAACGGATAAAATCCCGCTTTGGCTGCTGGGTCCAGTTTATCAAAAGATCTACTGATGTAATCTACTCTTGAAGCCCCAGGTGAAGACTTAGTAACGTAGAACCCATCAGGGGGATTTAAATTATCGAAAGAGTTACCGAAACCATCGATTCTAGAACCCACTGATGGCGGGTTGTTGCCATAAAAGGAGCCAGGTCCTACTGAAGAGTCTAAACCATCGAAAGTAGTACTTACAGGACCTACTTGAGACACTATTGTCGGTGTTAGTGAACTAGGGGGTTTAAATTTGGAATCGAAGTTGGAAATTGATTTATAATTTGGTACTCCAGGCGTGTCTGGCACAAATATAGATTGCGGACCTACGGAACGACCATTATCATCATCGACGGTAGAGTCTAGTTGAGAACCTCCATAGCCTACCACTATAGGAATGTCAGGAGTCTCCCCAATCGAGTCAGTTGATTCGGTTTTGTTCTGTTTGAAATCCACTTTGGTTTGGATGTGCACGAGTACGTCTGTCTGTATGCCGTCTTCATTTTTGGTGCTGCTGGTCGATTCTGAGGCATTGCAACCGGTGGAGGTACAAACTACCCCTATGTTTTCGAAGTCGTCATTGCTTTTGATAGTTTTGCTGTATTTGAACGGAGTAAATGTGTTTCTATCTTTATCCCCGTTTCTTAAAGATGAAGTGGATGAGTGTGAGGTTCCAAAGTCCAACTTTCCATCTATCCCGATTGCAGTGGCTAAAAAATAAAATAGAGATGCGTTAAAGGATATTTGTAATAAAATACAATTTATTTTTCACTTGCTTTGAAATTCCTGTACTAGAGGGTAAAGTATCATGCATTAAATGTAAACGTATTTGCAAGCGGAGATTCCGAACAACAAACAATATGTTTGCGGCTGTTGAGGCGTCAGAAAGCACTTCAATTAAAGCAAGTTAGGTAGGATATGAAACGAAGGGCCTGTTCTGTTTGGAACGCTCTATTGAATAAATGAACTAATTAAGATTGTGGAATGGTAGTAAATAGTGCCATATAAGTTATGTGCGGGAACTATGGGATAATTAAAACAACTTTAATTACAATTCCGTGAAAAGGTTAACTTAGCTCGCTAGGTACTTCTTTGATATACCTTCAAACATTACGCGAATAAAATCTTTCACTGTAATTATATTTGCTTATTCCACCTTTTTAATTAAATTCGTTATATTTATTATAAATCCTTGCTAAAAGTAATGAGTGCCCCTTTAAATCTAACTGTACCGACTTCAGAATAAGCTGATTACGCGTTATTCGTTTCCTTTAAGAAGCTTAGCTGATTTAATACGTTCCTTGTTTATTAATCCCTGTTGGATAAATTAATTTCTGCTTCCACTTGTTGATTGCAATTAATCAATGGATCTATTACTTCCCTTAACAAGCTCTGCTTATCGAAATGAAGGGGAATGTTCAGCCCATCTCGGGAGACATCGGAACAGGGCGTGTTTATAAATAGAATGTGAAAATGTTTCGGCTACATATTAGTAAAATTATGTGAGTATATAATAGTTTAAACAAAACATATTGTTGTTCGCTACATACTTCTTGCTGACATAATGAATACATATACAGGGTGTGTGGGAAAATGTGGGAAATCTCTCGGGTGCAGATAGAACATGAAAAAATAAGATGACAAGTCCCTATATTTATGTGATGGACACTAGTAAGGACCTTTAAAAATAATGTCCTAGTGTCCTTGAAACATATATAGCTTTGTTGTCGAGAAAAAAATATATAAGTCATGGCCCTTTTTATTAAAAATAAAATGTGAATTTGTTTATTATTCTTTTTCTAGTAAATGCTACAAGAGTATTTTTTTTTAGTCTAAGGTTGAAACTACCCAGATTTATTATTTTAAAGTCTTTATCATACAGGGTGTTAAAAATTTAAGCATTAAGTTGTAAAGCTTAGTCCGCCCCTGGTAAACTAAAAAAGCTAAATATGTTTCAAGGACATAATTTTAAGTAGTCGTTACTAGTGTCCATCACATAAAATTTTTTATTAAATTATATTAAGTACTTTAAAAGTTAATCAAGAAAAACCGATTTCCAGCGGCGTTGTGCACATATCTTCCTACGGAAGGCCTGTACGAAAAAATGTTATAGGAACTTGTCATCTTATTTTTTCATGTTCTATCTGCACCCGAGAGATTTCCCACATTTCCCCGGACACTCTGTGTATTTGTGTAGAAGCACACAAATTAACTCATTTTTAGAACTGTAAATATAATTTGCTATCGCACTTCTTTTAAATACTGTTTTGAATAGCTTTATATCAATTTAAATAAGAATATACTTAAAACTATGTTTCCAATCGCAAGATTATACTTTACTAATGATACCAGGAAATAGTACTACGGACTGCTCGTGTTTACATTACATTTTGCGGTTAGATGGTGACACTGATTAAAATAATTTTCATAACATGTAAATAATTTCCATTATTTTATCACAGGAGAAACATTTATTACCTAGATGAAATAAATTACTTGGTGTTACATCAGAAATGACTTACTCTGCCTCAAACGCCAGTTCCAGGTATAAAATTATTATTCAAATCAGTTTATAAACAGAAGAATTATTTGATATCACGTAGATTTTTTATTTTACCAGCGTCACAACCAGGATCTTTATCCTCCGAGTGTGGAGTAATTTTTTGGAGGATAGAAAAGCTATAATTTAGAATTAATTGATCGTCAGTTAATTACTAACAGTTTTTTAAACATTTTTTATTCAAGACTGGGTCCGTTTCAGTCAATTCTGTCTGCAATTAAAAATATATAGTTTGTCGAGACCATATGACACTCGTATATAGCAAATCAAAACTTAATACAATAATATTGCCATATTATTAATTATTTAGTTAATTAATTTTTTCACAGGTGGAAAATACTCAAACAATAAAATTCTCCCCAACAATTTCAACCTTTCTAAATTAAGTTCTGAAAATTTTCTGCTAAGACAAAAAGTTGCGCACCTTTTGAAAAGTAATACTGTTCCAGGCGGATTTGTGCTTAAAAAAATTCGTCAGTTTATAAACAAAGCAAAGAAAACCAGCTGCACCGGATGCACCTTGACATTCGAGATTTTAGTAAATCCTATTTCTTTGTATCGGCTTCATCAGAGATCTAATTAAAAGTTTTAAACAAAGACTCAGGCAAAGTTTCTAAATCACGAATACATAAAATAACTTCGAGTTTAGCTATATAAGTTTTAGTTAATATTTCGCAACAGTGAAATTTTTCATTAACGAATGTTTACAAAAGACTGACGTTTACGAAATGCTACCCTCTTTGTCTAGACTTCCGACAATCGCCAGTCACATTTATTTTGATAAAAAGTTGCAATTTTAAGAAATTTGTAACTAAGGATACAAGTATTGTCTACCAGAAAAATCTTCCTCTCACTTCCCGCCAATCCTATCAAAAAGTCGGGTAAACACAGCTTAATATTTTAGTATGTGTACAATTAATAATTTCAAAGATAATATCTGCCAATTCAAGGTGACCAGTTATTTAAAAGCGATTACCATATTTAGGTTATTGGTTTTTATGAAACCGCTAAAGAAATAAAACGGAAACATATACAGAGTGAACAATAGTTGAATTGATACATTACTTAAAATAAAAATCTGATTTTTTGTATAATAGGCAATTCGCTTGTCTAGCAGATCGATATTAATTATTAAACTTACGTTTTTAAAAAAGCAGAAATCATTAGTCTAAAAAACTGCTGGATATTTGGCGTCAAAAGCTATTCATTACGAAATTTAGGCGCGATATTAAATAATGAATATTCTATAATTCAAATTTAAACTGTTTCGTTTTTTACTGGATAAAAAATTATCATTCAAAAAGCACATAATTCCTTTCAAATTGAGAAAGCAGGAAATTAAAATCGATACTCACTGGTGAAGAGAAGATGCGACGTGATTAACAATCCCTTTAGCACTTGGTAATGCATGATTGTGCGTCCGGAACCCTTTGATTCTTGCCTGAAACTGAGACGACAATTTGCGTGAAGACACCTATGGCGTGACAAATCCTGAGCAAATAATTAACTAACTATTTCCAAACAGAAAACATAACGTGGATGTTGGTCTCCTTCATCTCATTTTCAAGGTTAAAAATAAAATGTTCTTTGATCATAATTGCATTCATTAAAATTTTCAGTATTGCCTCTGGTACTATAGCAACCTGTCGGAAGTAACACAGTATCAGGTGAGTCACTTGAAATTAATAGATTGTTATTTCTAACAATATAAAACACCAGACAATAAATAGTTAAACCTATACAAGTTACGTAACGTCTGTGTTTCAGATCAACAATGCTTTGGCTGCATCTCGAAGGCCAAAATTATCAAATCATCCGAAAAGGTGTCGTTTACTCCATCCCATTTGTTTCCGATTATAAAAAATCACCACCATTTAACATCACCAAAACACTTATCTTCTCATTTTTCTTTCAACTGATAAGGTCAATTTTATAAAACCTACTTTAAACACAGCTTTTCTTATTTTGAAAATTTCCTTCAGTTTGGCTTGAGGAGTATTTAACACATATAGTTAAAAATCGAAAATAATTTTTTTTCAATATGGTTTTTATTTTGCGTACCTTTGTTATTTTGATTGTTGTATACCTGAAATATGTCACGTCTGTTTTGTAAATCATATGGAAATGACGTAAACGGACTTGATACTTAAAGAAACCATATTCTGACAACTCTAATGATAAATATCTTGTAGATTTGATGTTCAACGCGTTTATTTTCAATGAAATTTGGCAATTGTTCATGTAACACACAATCAAGTTTAAAATCAAAACTACTGGTTTGCCATGAAATGTAAAGAGGCGCAATATATACACATTTAATTATTCTTATTACAGGTCGGAGACCGAGTAAAATATATTGGTTGTTATGGTATCTACAAATCTTGGAAAGCACAGAAACCTGTTTCTAACTAAAAAGTATTTTTGAACGGAACTTTTTTTAAATTATTTTACCATAATGTGAATATTCGATTTATTTTGATAAGGTGAAAATGCTTGTACATATTTATTTAATGTTTTTGATCTTTTTATTTTCTTAGAAATGCTATTTATTTAAATAAACGTTTTAAATACATGCTATTTTAATAATTTCTATTTTCGAGCACGTTGATTGTATAAACACGATTTTTTGTTTTACACTATTACCAGTAAAACAACCAAGTGCATGAATCAATTTTCATTTCATATAAATATGCCTGCAACCTGCAGACAATTTATTCAGTTACTTAGATTAGGTCTCTTATGTTAATGTTCTTTTAAAACCAAGAAAATTTCCATCTACCTGGAATAAGCTTTTGAATTATTTATTCCCACATAACAGTTATTTAAAAATTGGCCCTTAAAGCTTCGTATTTTTGTGAAAACAACAAGAAATGGTTGTACAGCGATTTTATAAATTCCCTACGTAATAAAAACACTTAATTAATTGAAAATTTTAAGTTTCTTCTCAATTGTGGAATTGACGCAATGACGCCAAAGAAACGCGCGATATCTCTTAACTATATTACGAAACACTGGCTCTTTTGCAACAGAGATCTGTATTGTGCGTACCAATGCTTTCAAAATCGATAATCCAACTCCATTGCAGCCTCTTATAGTTTCTAAAATCAATGAATATTATTCTATGCAGTAACTGTGAAGTGAAAACGTACATAGGTATTGTATTTTTGAAACCGAGTGAGTTGCGCGAAACTAAATGTGTACAGGACATAGCTAGTAGATACCATTCGAAACATCGCCATAATTTTAAAAATGTTGTCACCGCCGTTCTTGGGGGTTAAAATTCGAAAAATTTAGAATTATTCAAATTTCGTGGCTGAAAACGTACATAGGTTTGTATTTTTGAAACCGAGTGAGTTGCGCGAAACTAAGTCTGTACAGGACATAGCTAGTACCATGCGAAACATCGCCATAATTTTAAAAATGTTGTCACCGCCGTTATTGGGGGTGAAAATTCGAAAAATTTAGAATTATTCAAATTTCGTGGCTGATATAGGTAGGTAGGTATTAATCTAGGAAAGTGACATTGTAAATAAAAAAATTGGCATTTTGTATAAGCAGATGGGTGGGTATATGTGTATAAGAGAATATATTTTCAATTCAGTGGAATTATAATAAAAGGAAATGGTAAAATGTTGAAAAAACGGCAAAATTACTTGAGTTGGGAAAGATCTGCTACTCTTAAGATTATCAAATTGTTAATTCATTATTTAAATTTAATAAAAAAAGTCCAAGAATAAAACAAAACGTATTTGGGTATCAGAGATCTTCAGATAAATCAACAGAATGTCTCAAGGAGCAAGTAACAATCTACTCAAAACAATGAGGATTTATGACAAAGAAAGCTATTCCAATTTTTTCAGAATGTTTCCTGAATTCTTTGATAAAATTCAAAATAAAATGCTGTTTGAGCTCTCATATCCCCCACTATACGATTCAAACTTGCCCGCTCTAGAGTTTAGTCTGACAATCTTAATGTAAACATTGCATTGGCTGGAAGTGTCTGTCAAAATATTTTGACAAAAGAAAGTAATTTTGATACACTGAAATTAGTTTTGATGCCTCTTATAACCATTATGTATGACGTCACTTTTAATCACTGAATCTCTGCATATTTGCAGGGCCGGCACAAGGGGCGAAACAGCGAAGCAGATGTTTCAGGCGACATTTTTTTAAGGGCGGCATTTTAAGACTTTATTATTAACTTTTTATAAATTTCAGAAATTGAAAATTGCACAAAAATCTGAAAAAATCTTTTTTCGACTCCGAATGAATGCTTTGTGCTTTATTGTGAACGTTACATATTCTAATCCATACTTCATACTTATTCGTTTACTCGGTTTATTCGCACTAAACATGTCAACGTTAACATGTGCCTAACATCGTAGTATCTTTAAGGATTTTGTTAACCATTCCTGTTTCTGTGTCCAGTAGAGAACGTTCCTTTTCAAAATTAAAAATTACAAAAAATTATTTACGATCAACCACGGCGCAGGAACGGTTAAGAGACTTAGCCATCTTGGTATCAAGAAAGATATAACGAATAATTTGGTTTACGATGATATTACTGAAGACTTTGTTAATGAAAAATGTAGAAAAGTTGATATGTGATATGTGTAAAGATCCCGTTTTGACATTATTTAGTTTCTTTTTTGTTTTTATTGAAAATTTTTTATTTTTAGCTTTATTGGAATATCTTTTACTTTTTATAGGATTTTTCTTATAATTTCTGTTTGTTTTTTTGCTAAAATATTTTTTGATTTATTTTTGTCAATTGAAATATTTTTTATTTTTTATAACTTTTTATTAATAAATTTGTTATTTGTTCCAGCAGGTGTAACATGTATATATTTTTTCTTAGGGCGGCAAGCAAATATTTGCTTCAGGTGCCAAATACCCTGCATATTTGATTAATGATTAATGTGCAGTTGAGCAAAATTGTTCTGCTAATGTACTTGTATACATTCTAATTAAGACCCTGTGTTTTGCATCAAAGGAGACATACAGGGTGATTCAGAACTTATCAAAAAAAAATTTTGGATGTTCACCAACGTGTAAACACATTTGGACCCGTCTTTCACAGTTTCTACGAACTATCACAAATGTTATGTTGTTTCACCATAACCATGCTTCACCATAACATATATATTGCCTTGCTTCACCATAAATTAAAACAATATCCATCAACTCCGAGTTGCTATACACGTAAGCAATTGTACTAAAAAACTGTGGTAAATACTATCGCAATTAATTGTAAAATCGGATTTGAGTATTTGGAGTCGCTGGGGCTAGGTGGCTCTCCACGCGTACAACGTGAATGAAATACTTTTTACTTTTACAGTTACCGATTTGTTTATTAAAAATATCACCTATTGTATGTTACATATATCTCGGGAAAATGCAATATTGTATTCGAAATAAAACGGCAAGTTATAAAATTTTCAAATTTAATAATCTTCATATAAAAAATACATTTTGTAAGCTGAATTTTATAATATCTCCATGGAATATAACTTCTTGCCACACAGATTACATAAAAACTGTTTCTTATTGTCTTACTAAATACTAAGTGTGATCGACCAAAGTTCTGAAGCAAAATGAACAAAACTCTTCAAGGGCTGTTAAAATTTTAGAAACTTTGTCGTAACTTGTTGATAAAATTAGTATTTTACGAATTGTTTCAAGTGAATCTAAGTTTATGTAATCTGTTGTCCTCTGTAAAAGAACTTACAAAATCAAACGCTATTCTAGACATTTAAAGCACTCTTAAATTAAACAGTCATAGATACACGTAATAAAATACGAACTAATATAATAAAAATATATAGAGATCACAACATTTTAGGTACAGAATTTAAAAATCTGTTTAAATAAAGTTAAATAAAATAAGGGATGTATATTTACAACGTACCCTAGTTTAAACATTTATATATATAATAGTATCTTAACTTTCTTTGATTTAAATATCTATTTAATATAATATCGTGAATACATCTTGGTAAAATAAATATAAGTTTGTAATACAAACAGTAAAAAAAATTTGGCACCCAAGTCAAATAACAACAGTGCCAGGATTCCCAAGTATTCCCGCATTTTTGGTATTGATAAGTTCTACCAGTTCCTATTTGAGCCGAATGCAGTAAGTTAAACATTCGGCATGGAATTTAGTCATCGAAAATAGAAAATGTTCTGGCACGATCGTTATTAGGAACATTTATTTATTAGTCTAGTTTGCGTCACACGTATCTGGTCAACTGTGCATAAAACTCTTGAAGACACACGTGTAACTGGGTAAAAGTCGGTCGTTCTTCTGCGCTCATCGCCCAACAGTAAGCCATCACTGCAAATCTGACAAAAAAAAGGCACATGAAACGTACCGATATTTAACAGGCTTCATAAAATACACTTACAGTTCATCTGGGCAGTTAATCGGCTGAGCCAAGCGATACCCATCCTTCAAATAGGCAGCCATTTCAAAAGGATCGATTTCAGTGTACGGTTGTTGAGCGAGCGTCGTCAGCTCCCAGAGCAACACGCCGAACGACCACACGTCGGAGCTCGGCGAGAAGTTTTTGTGCAATAAACTTTCAATAGCAAGCCACTTCACCGGTCTGTTCTCGTTGTCGCCTAGACAATGGTAATCCGAAGGAAACAGGTCGCGGGACAGAGCGTTATCGGCTACTAAGACGTTTAGCTTGTCGTCGACCCTGTAAATATGAATTGCATCGTACATTTTATAACACGACTGCGTAGTGTGTAATACTCACACGCAGTTTCTAGCAGCTAGATCTTTGTGCAGCAAATGCTTTTTATGCAGATACTGCATACCCTGTATGATCTGCAAGGCCATATCGACCACCTCCTGCGTGGTCAAAGTGTGGTGAACGCCCTCTGAGGAAACTTTGCATTTCTGCAGGAAAAGCTTCAAATTCGTGTAGTTCTTGTATGGGTAAAGCAAAAACGGCGCGGTGTGGTCTTCTATGGACACTCGTAATATGCTTAGAATGTTTTTGTGGTTTAACGAATACATGGCCATGCCCTCTTGGAGCAAGAGGGATATTTGGACCTGGCTTGCGTGGTCGGTTACCGTTTTCACTATGACGGTTTCTTCGGTACCATCTTCGTTCGTGTAGGAGCCATGATAGACCCTGCCAAAGGTTCCTTCTAGAATTATGCTGCTCAGGCGAACTCTACACCTGAAACGTTATCGATTAAGAAAATTAAAAAAAAAATGGAAAACCTTTCCTTACCTCTGCACTGTAAGTTCGGCAATTCTGTCCTGTAAATCCTTGGACCTCTCATCGATCAGGGAATAACTCGGCATTCGCCTAAAGCTACCATAAGACGAAGCGTTTACACTGTTCCGAGGTAACGCCGCTAGAAACGTTGTAGTGGTCGTAGTGGGCCCACCAGCGGTTTCTATAGTCCTTCTACTTTTCTTGTCCTTTATGTAGTACAACGTAACCAGGAAAGCAAGAATGATGATCAGTATCACAGCACAGCACACTGCTATGTAGAATATATTAGTCGAATTAGAGAATTGCGGCATGGAATCCATAGAAACGTACATCGTAGACTTTTCGAATTGAAGGCAGATTTTATTTCGTCGAAATGTTAGAGTTGTTACATTGTCGTGTGATACTGTTATATTTATCGTTATGGTAATATCCACTTCTGCCTCCACGACTCCAGAGCATGGGAGAGAAACGGTGAATGTTTGCGGTGACGTTGGGATAGAACCACTGCTTGATATGTTTAATTTTGGGGGAGGTAGTGCGGGGGAGTTTGAAGTCTCTACCTTTATCGAATAGGGTAGCTGAAACGATAAGGAATTAAAATAGTGTATAGAGACAGACAATCCACTTTGCTTCGAGGCTCTGCGTATGAGAGCTTTCCATTTTAAAAAAAAAAAAAATTAAGCTGATAGTTTAGGTGAAACGTATGAAAAAATTACTTAAAGTTTCCTCCGACTTACGTCACATAAGAAATGCGCATGCAGGGAGCCTCGAAGCAAAATGGATTCAATATCTCTAGACATTAGTAGAAATAAATGCTTAAATAAGTCAGTTTAAACCTATGTTGTAACCTACAGGTGAGTGTTAAACTAAACGTTTAAATTTTTTAGCAGGCTAAACTGAATGCAATGAATTATTTGAATATAAAAAACATTTTTATTTGCATAGAATTCTTAATTTACTAGGTACTTATTTCTATTTATATCTAAAAAAAAAATAAATACGTTTCAGTGTGTACTCATTATTTTTAATTTACACAGTTGGCACACGTGAAGAAACAATTCAAATATACCGGTAACCTCAAAGTTTACGCAAGTATCGTTTTGTGTGCAGTGATTTTGTGTAAACATTTTAATAATTTTTGTTAAGGTAAGTCACTTTTGTGAACCACTTTTTGTTATTTACATATTCTTTATGAAATTGTTACTATTTTGCATCTCTTGCCTCCTATTTTATTTGCGATTCAGAATGAAATATGAAATAAGTTTGTATTCTTGGATTGTATTCTTTATGAATTTGTTTTAACAAAATTATACTTACCGGTTGCCCAGCTAAGCTTTCCCATATGAAGTGTAAAGAGTCGATTTTGGACGGAACTGGAACGACAAAATTTAGGGCATAATTGTTAATATTGCCGTTTCTGATGTAATATAATTCGGCTGCCAAACCTAAAAAGTCGCTTGCAATAAAAACTTTGTTAAAGATTAGACAAAAAATTTAAAAAAGGCACACAAAAAAGGGTTACAGTTGACCGAAATTGGGAATAAAATGTTTCTTTTTGCGTATAATTTTGTTATTATCGTCACTGTCATCAATTATTCATAATACTACTTGATTAAGTGAATTAAAGACAGTAGTCTTTAATTCACATTTTAGATAATAAAATTAAATGTAATCTAGTCATTAATGCCAATTGTGACAGTTGAAATCGGTACATTAACTTTTAGTGTTTGCCTGGAGAATAAAAAAATTATAAATTTTTTGTTAGGCTTTTTTGCACAACTAAAATTAAAGAGTCTTGCAATGAAAAAGATTTTTTTTATCTTGTACCCGTTAGTTAAAAATTATTAATGTACAAAAACTCTGTATCCATTTAGAAGCATTGTTGAGTCCTGTTATTTTCTGCAGAAGAAATATATTCATTTTCTACATATGACGCCAACGAAGTTCTTTTATTAAACAAATACGTCGGCTTCTTGGTTCTTTGAAAATATTTGACCTACGTAACCCTAGCAGCTTTGTATAGTATAATCTTATCGTCCTTAAGTGTAAATAATAATAGCGGCATTATTAAAGTTGTGTCGGAGAAACTATAATTTCACTGCATACTTATTTACCATTTTCGAAAAATGGTAAATTATACCGGTTCTTTTATGTTGTTAAAACCAACACACGATTTTTTTTACGGACACGGATATAAAAGATATACAGGATTATAGCTTTAATATAATTACCAAATTTTTAACAATATCTACTTCATTGTGGCCTTATGACCAAGAAAAAAAAAGTTGATTTATAATTTTCATCACTGTTATAGGCAAAAATATAGCATAGTAATTAATGATATATAATGTAAACATTAAATTTAATCGACTGCACAACTGATTTTTCAAAGTACGGATGATCTTTAAATTCGGTAGGCCAATGCCCTCAAACAAGAGCTCCATACCAATTTCCACATATTTCTGTCAAAAATAGGTAGACCACTAAAAATACCTTTATAATTTCATGTGGTGTAAACACTTAGGATATAAGTAGTAGGGTAGACAGCAGTTTCAGTAATAAAATGCACAGTTTCAAATATAAATCCAAAGGCCCGTCCAAAGGTATGTAAAACAGGTACAACAAAAAAAATTAAGAACTGCAATGACATCTCTCAGCATACCGTAGGATGTTCAACTTACTGTCAAGTAAGGATATTAAGTTTATAAATATTGTGACATAAATGATGTGAAGTTAACTTTCGTATCTACCAAAACTTGTTTGGTTTCGTTTGGTTTATATCTTGGTTTGTAAGCAGACGCATCCTTGCTGCATGGAATCATTGGCGTTACATATTTTTATTAATGTTTAAAAATCTTCGTAAACATTTTGAAACAAGGGTACATTTTATTTTATATTTTTTATACATACATATTAAAAAAATAATTTGTAATATAAAGGAACGAATCTTAAATATGGATTTGTATTTTTTACTATTTTCTTACTACTTTGGTGTTTAATTTTAATTAAAAGGTAGGATACATTTTTGAGAGAAAGTAATGTTGCAGTTTTATTTTTTCCACAATTTCAGAACATTTTTATATACAACTGAAGAACAGTGTTGGTCACACATTCCGATTTTTTGCTTTTCGTAAAACGTTAATATTAATGATTTTTTCAATAAAGTAATAAATTTTAATATCTCCTAGTAGGACGATCAGACTATTCTTGATACGCCTATGTGCGAAGCAACTCATCATTTGTTTATATAGACCACAGTACTGTGTATGCAACAGAAACAAATAAAAGCAATTTTTTGTAGCTCTTTAATTAGAGAGGCGTCATATATTTTCAACAAGGATAGTAAAAGCAACTCGAGTGTATTTAAACCCATGATGTGTAAGGTGATGGGGTATACAGGGGTATAGAGACATGGGGTTGCCTGCTAAGTAGTGTTAATCATTCGTCACACTATAATGTGTTTCTGGTCGATCACCACTACACATGCGCAATAAATTTAAAAACATTAGAAATCTATTTATAAACAAATGCACGTAAAACACAAATTAACTTACCCAAAAGCCTTTGCACTTCCGACAAACTTAGGTATAAATTTAAATACGCCTTTACAGAATTTAAATACGTCAGTATTAGTAGAGTTATAATATGATTTGGTACGAATAATTTCATTTTACTTTGTTAATTTCTTTACATGGCTTAAATGATTTGTTAGGATGAGAATTTTGGTTATGTTTACACCACACTGTACTGCACTACATCGTTGTTCTTTTGTTATTTATCTCGGTTTGTGCTTTGCCTTCTCCGGCTCGTATGCTTTAAAGCAACGCCCGCATGTCACCATGTGCCCCAGCAGCAAAACCGCGTTGCCAGATTTCCAATGAAAATGTATCTAACTTGATGTCTTGCACCTAAATTTGAAACAAAGATGACGGTTTATATATATTTAAATTTAAGAAAGTTTTAGTTTTATTTGAATACATTCGTATTCGTAACTTTTGCCTATTTTATAACCACAGACGTAAACATAGTAACAAGAAAGGAAAAATAACGTAGGTTTTTTTACTGAAAAAGACTTGGTTTAGAATATTTATTAAAGAAACTATTATAATTTGTGAAGTTAAGTCAGAATAAGGATAATAAAATATACCTTTACCACGAAATAATTCAGTTGTTTCTAGATATTTCCCTAGTTTAGAATAGGTTGCTGCGACCTGACAATGGCGCTTGAAAGATTAATGTCGATGACTCCCGATGGCTGTATGCCTACAAACCGACCCAACCCGACTTATAACAAGATGTTGTATACCGGCTATTTTTCTAACATCCGCTACCGTAACTGCAAACAAAAATTAACATGGTAGAATTTAAAGACGTTTGGCTCACCGGGCTAGGCTTCACAATACTGTGTTTAAATTATTAGGATTATAAGATTTCTTATGTGCTTCAGACACTGTACCTACTGGTACCCATAAATCTAAATATTTAAGTCAAAACATGAATGATTCATTCATAATTAATTAGGTAATTAATTAAGACCCATATTTTACTTCTCTCTGGTATTTTTAAGCCAAAATTTATTTCGATTAATTTGTATTTTGCCCATTTTAAATCTAAAATTCTTTGAATATATTTTTTTCTGAAATTGTGTATTTAAAAACAAATTCAAATTGTTTAGTTGTTTGCTTACATGGGGAGGATATTGTTTATACAGAAATATAAATCTGAAAATTTTATTTATGTAATTTTTACATTTACATCAGCCTTAAAATTAAGATTTCTTATTACAATGAAATAAATAAATAAATAAACCTACACCATTTCCCAAATTACTTAGAGTCCTTTTAGTTACTATTTGGGCAGTTCTTTTGATCAGTCCTGATGAAATAGGCTCTACTGATGTTTTGCTTGTCTAAAGCAGCGTAAGCTTTTTCCATTGCGTCAAGCGAGGGATTTTTCTTTCTGGTCAGAATCCAGGCGTTTCCTACAACAATGCAGTTAATCGAATTGTATGATGGTGATTTCAAATTTATTTTTTCTTACTTGTGCTTAGTATTCCGAAATTGTTACAGGACCACACTACAGAATAGTTGTCATAGTCCGTGGCTATAACCCAATATGGAGCGTCAAAATTAACTAAAAAAAAAAATTGTATAAGCTTAAATTTAGTTTTTATTTTGGATTTTTTTTTCAGAAAAACCGAGTGCAACGACAGCGATAGAGTATATGAGTATATGATGGTAAGTAGTCTGTCCATTCTTTATAAGATGATATCTGTATTCAGAAAATGTATGCCTTAGTGATTAGCTTCTGTAAATGTAGGATGTAGCATTTAAAGCTGCAAACGTTTCCTTTTATTAATGTTCGAAACGTTTTATGCACGTATGCAGTTATTATTTACATGTTTCCTGCATTTAAATGCAGACGATTCACTGAACTGCGTTTTATTTTTCCCATGACATTGTTCTGTCGGGTTTATTTAAAATCATTTACTTAAACCAATAATATTTTTATATCTACTTATTCAAAATATGTGATCATCCGATTCGCCCAATAATTTCATTTCTATTTTCGTCTAATTTTATTTACAATTGTGATTGTGAAGACATATCCCAGAGTTTAACTGGATTAATATTTTCCTCCCGTTTAAATAAATTTTTATCTTATCAACGCCTAAGTCGAACCATATGAAATGGTATCAACACCTGGATTAATATCTTTGTAATTTCATACATAAACCTAAATAATTCAAAGCTGTCAGCTGTAACCGGTAATCTCATGCCTGTATTTTTAATTAATCTGTCTCTAAATTGTGGAAAGGTTACCTAAATTGGCAAAGGCTTTTGCAGTACATATAAATCATTGTATACGAAATAGGTATAATTGCATTATTCATATTATTCAGAACAATGGTTAAAATTAACAGAATACTTGCTTTTAGGAAAATGAACATTTCTTAGTGTCAATTGCAAAAAGTAAATAATATGGAAATATGTATTTGTTGACATAAACAATAATTGATTTAATGGTGTAGATAGCTGTCGATTAAATGTTAATGTACGAGCAACTTTAAAAGCAACTGATACTGCAGTATATAATTAAACTTGTCATTTTAAAGGCATGATATATATTTAAATATTTAAAATTATATATCGTGCATTGGAAAATACATAAAAAATGAAATGGTAGGAAAATTTCGTAGAAATGTTTACTAGACATTAAATGAAACTTTTTATGCATAAAAATACATATCTAATTTACTAGATTTTTTTAAGGTAATTACACAGTATGTTGTCCCAGATGAGTGAGAATCGTTATAACGGTTGTTCAAGATGTAGGTTGAAGAAAGCATTAATTAAATTATTGCTTTAAAAATTTTAACGTTCGCTAATTTTCTGAGAAATACTTGAGTAACAGAAATTTAAAATGTTCTTGTAGATATAAAAGTAAAAATAAGTGAAAAAATTATGTTTTGCAACTCAGTTATATGAGGATATGCGATAATTGAAAAGTTTTATGAATTCTTCGGCGAATAATTAAATGAGATTTTCACTTTGTAATGAAATGAATAATGTAGTTTTAGTTGATAATGATATTAATGTATAACCTTACCAGGGAGCGATGGAAAATTGACTGTCAGCTTCGCCTCGTCAGATCTTCCAACTTGATTAGCATTTCCTTCAATAGTAGATCGGATACCAGTTCTGAAATAAGTTAATCAATTAAACTTGATCCCGAGAAACTAGTTAATTATACTTGAAAAAAAGACTCGTACAATGCACTGATTTGTTGATTGACAACGTTCACCGCTCCGTCCTTCCTCACTTCATAGTTAGCTGTGACACATTTTCCTCCAAATTCGAAAATCGCGAAATATCTCTCCGCCTCGTACCATTTCCCCAAATACTGAAAAATGCGCTTTAAAAACAATATTAATTTATTATCGTGTTACCTACTCTCTGCACATCGAAATTTGCTGCCGTCGACACATTAGGGCAAGGCCCAAAAAAGGGCACCTGAGCTTGAGCGAAAGAAAATACGGAAAGCGCGAACACCAAGAACCGCAACATATTTGGACTTGCCGGTACGACTTTGCCTTTTGATGGTCAGTTACGTATAATGTGTTAACTGAATTCTGCAATTCTTCCACTTCTCACTCACTAGGTCAGGATAACGGTGAAGAACTGTCAAACGCGGTTAATTCTTATACGATTTTATACCTCAACCAAACAGAAATGTGGATGCGCTATGAACAGTAAAACAGGTATTTACGTCACTAGCATTTTATTTGTAACATTAAATAAATAAATAGCACTTAGTGGAAACATTTACACTATTTGTACAACGGTTAATTAGTAAGTACAGAAATAATTAAATACACAGGGCGTCTTACATACATGAGAATACGCATTTTTACATGTTACATGTTACTGATCAGAATTTTCTTTTTCTAAGTCCTCATCAGGTACTGTACCTCCCTCAGGGGTAGTACCGGTTGCATCTTGGCCTTCAGCATTGCTTAAAATCACCTCAGCGACCTGTTGGGGGTCCGCATCTTCCGCGCTCTTTTGTTCATATCCAGTGGCTTCAGCCACGGTCGATATGGAGGTGATTCCATTAGCTGCGTTGATGTCGGAAGCGGCCAAGGCGCAACCCTCTTGGTCTGTTTTGACGAAGAAGGTGCGGCTGATTTTGAACTTGTCCAGTACCCCGTATGCCGTTTGCAGAACCGGTCCGGGGGGTATGCGGTCTCTTGTCATCACCCAGACGCTTTCTGAAGTTAAGAAAAAAAAATAAAAAACGTGATAAAATTTAATACGGGTTCACTTACGTGCGTGGATCGGTCCAAAACCGCTGCAACTCCATATGACCGCGTAGGAATCGTAATCGGTGTCTAGAACCGTGAGGGTTGTTTCTGTGGAGATGGGGGTCGTGGTGTATTTCACATTTAGTTTGCCCTCGCCATCTTTGCCCGCTAAGTCAATATGGCCGCCTATTATGCGCTTTACACCTGTTCTGAAAAAAAATGTCGCTTTGAAAATAGGCCGTTGATAACAGAAATACGTCGAAAATACTTTAAGACCATGTGCATGGGAAATTAAGCGTATTAGGACATGTGTTGTTAAACAGTGACGCATTTAGGCGTATTCCATGATGTAAAATGTAAAAAAAAACTTAATTCCCGCTTCCTCGGCTTTTTAATATTTACATGTTCCTCACGATCACAACTGGGGTACAAAAAAGCGAAAGATAATAATTCATCTTATTGTAACAACTTTAATTACACTTTATAATGCGTGTATAAAAATTACCCTAGCACTATGGCTGTTATTTAATATACAGGATGGTTTAAATTGTAGTGTGTAGTTAGTTTGGCGGTTTATTTTTCAGATATCAAAAATAATAATGTAACAATGTTTCATATTAGAAATTTAGTACTCACAGTCTGTTGGTAACTTCGTTGGAGACGTAAATCTTTCCACTGACAGCTCTGGCGTAGTCCGTGACGACACAGCGAGCCGCAACTTCAGAAAATTGGAAGTACCGCTCGGCCTCGTACCACTTTCCCAAAAATTGTTCCATGTCAAAGTCGGCCATGGGAAGATACTCCGGACAGAAGCCCAAACTGGGGATCTGGGCCTTGCCCACCGCCGCAAGCGCCAAGAAGATGTACACTCGGATCATGGTAGCGGTAATTTGAATTCCCGACACTTGAACGTACTTATATAGTACTGGCCGTAATTGGAAAACTGCCTCAAAATCGTTAAAACAAAAAGAAACGATGCCGTCTAGGCGGTCATTTTGATTGAATCGGTTTTGTTATTATTAATTAAGAAACGGTTCTCTTATACTTCTTTTAAGAAGGCTAATAACCTGGCTTGGCCTCTCGAACTATCCTCGTTCGATCTGTGAATAAATATTGTTGACAAACAGCCGTTTAACTAGGAATTTTAAAGTGTTCCGTCCTGATTTATTTTCGTCACGTTTTTGGTTCACATATTGTCTATTCAGCTTTTCGTATGTTAATTTTTATTTACCAAATTGGTGTTAGCCTAGTGGAATCACAAGTAGCATTTGTACAGGATGCAGGAAAGAAAGGCGTTCGCGCATCCATCAATCCATTTCAGTTAATTTTTAAGGCATAAGTATAAGTATAATTAAAACCACCTCAGTTTAATAGTATCCCGAAAAAAGTCTTAATTTGATTTATATTTGCTACAATACTATAACTATTTAAATTATTTTAAGTACACATCAAAATTTGTCTGGTATATTTGATGAAATATTTTATTATTTCAAGTTTAAATAAATGTAGAACATCAACACTTTCAGTAAGCATCTCGGAGCAAAACTAGAATGGAGTAACTTTCCCGTTCACGTGAACTAGTCACATTGAACGTATATATTCCATACATAAATGATTCAAAATGTTCTTGATGGAATAAGTGTCTATCGTATATCTGTTATTTATTTTTATATAATAATTTATTTAATTCAAACATTTAGTGTTTTTATGAACCTGCTGTGTGCTTCCATCTATCATAAAACGTGCTAAGTTGTGTTGTGTAATAATTATTAAAGTTAACTGCAAATCTATTAATTCATACGTCTCCCGAGAGGTGGCGCGGTAGTTGTTATATAACTCGCTAGTTAACTGTAACGTAAGTGAGATGGCTATTTGTATTTCCACATTTATTTGGTTGCGGGAACACAGATGGCGCTGCACACTTTGTTGTTATAACGATTTTTGAATACATAATCATTGATTATAATCCTGCCGCAAATTGTTTTCTATAAATGAGTAAGTTAGCGACGAGAGTTAATCATTGTCATTACATTATAGTAATACCTGTTTTTTTCATCTATAAAATACGTCGTAAATACAAATCACGCGATTGCTAACATACTTCGAGTAAGTAAAATTTGCAGTAAAAGCATTTTATTATCTGCTGCTTGACAATGCCGGACGAACGACAGGATATATTGTTTAAATACCGACCTTACAGTTTTTATTACTAGAAAGTTATGTTCAGGTGAACTATTTGTTTATTAACATTTCTGATAATAGCACTTCTAGACTTTAAGTAGATTAAAATAAATATATTGAATTATATTATGTATTTCATTTATTCTAGTCTATGTTAAAAAATAAAATTAGTTAAAATTTACGTATTTTTCTAATTCTAAATATCTACTGGATCTCCAATTGTAAAAAAATGCAGACCTCTATCTAGTTTTTTTGTTTGTTCTTTGTGCGAATCACCACCGTGTATACAGGGTGCCTCAGAAATAAGTGCCAAAATTTTTACCACGCTTTTGAACAGCAACAGCAACGTAATTTTTTTAAATGTTAAATTTTTGTGACCCGCCACTGGGGCATAATTTGGAACGCTTAGCAGAGTTGAATGGACAAAAAGAAGCACAAAAATGGGAACTAATTATTGCCAGTATTTATGCTGGCAAAAATGTGGAGATAGCGAATCATTTCATGAAACATTCGCATACGTTATTTAGGTATTTCTTTAATCTACAGGCAGTTATTTTAATAGGTACAAAATACGAGTGAGTTTTCGAAAAAAATTATTAGACGAAAGTTGTTGCTTTTAATGATCAGTTAAATACGTGGTTAATGATTTTGGCACTTTTCCTGGGATACCCTGTATATTCCAAGAGTGAAACCAATAAATATAACTTTATTGAACATTGTTATTTTACTGGTAACTTTGAATTTTTTGGATACGTATTTTAATTTCGCTATTTATGTCGTTCATCTGCATTTCTTATCGCTCGAATTCGAATAGGCCTAGTTTCCGACATGGGCGTCCATTTGTTTTTCTGCTGACCTTAATTTGTCTGTTTATGTGACGTCCACATTACTCACTGACCCTTCTCACGTTCAGTTTTTAAGTGGCAAATTAGAATCGTCACAGTTATCGCTTATTTAATGGGCGCTATGGCTTCATGTAGTACAAGAGCTGTGTGAGAATTAGTAACAATTTATAATGGCATAGTCGATGCAGTAGGCGAATTGCGACACCAGATGTAGATACTTCGAACAGAGGCGTAGCCATTTAGGAAAAAAATAATGAACTACCAACACTACTTCGCGCATAATAGCGCAATATTAAGTTAAGTGAACGGCACTTGTTCCCCATTTTGCTGGTGGCAGAAAATGCCGTATATTTGGAATTTATTGTTTTTATCGTTATGGACAATCCTTAACCTGATGAAAATGTTAAATTGTAAAAAATTGTTTCTCAAATGTAATTATACTGTTTATAGTTAAAAACGACAATTTGGTAGTTTTTTTACCGATGTTTTTAAAAAATGGTACAAGTCCTGTGCTTCTTTTACTAAAAAGCGACCTTTTAATGGGGTTTTCGTCTTTCTTGTGCATAATAAATGAACTATAGTTAATGTTTAGAACTGAGGTTCTGTTATATCTCACTTTTCAAATGTATACATTGAATTGGGCAAGTCTTATCATTAAATTATTTAGTATTCAAATTAGTAAACCAAGCCAATCAGAAATAACTTTGTCGAATTCATGTTTACTACTTATCTGTGCATGTGAAAATGTATACAGAATGGTCTTGTTGAAGGATAAACATAGATTTTGTTTTCGTTATTCTATGGCATCTTTTTTCGAAAAACGTTAATGTGTTTTGGAAATATGATATTTAAATGAAATTCATTGCATGTACTATAATTATCTGGACATTTCGTTCAAACACATATTACTTGGTATTTCAATGAACCAAATATTAGTTTACACTTAAAACTAGTTCAGTCTTAGAGGATTTTATAAATACTCAGGGTGTTCCTTAATCGCTTACCGAAGTTTTTTGGAATATGTGATTATTTTATACATGATCTATTATGTTTTGACAAGAACACCCCGTATATGGAAAATATACAACTGGTTTTAACCTGTGCTGTGAAGTAAAGGTACGGTACAAGAGAAAATATTTTATTTCCTTACTTACATTATTTACAAAACTATTTTATTTACATTTTACAAATCTAACAAAAAAAAATACTAAATTACCACATTTGTACCACGTTTCGAAAAACAATCGTGCCGACAAAATTTGTTCACGTAATTAAGTAATTTTATTTATTAAAAAAAAGGTTTGTTCTAAAAGAATTTAAAAAAAGACGTGCGAAGTAGCGGCCAAGGTATAAATTAAAGTAGCATTCAAATTATACAAAAAAAAAAAAGAAAACTAGCTAGAGCATGGCCTTCGAACTTCCCTTAGGGGAATAAGATCTATAGAAAAAAAAAAGATGAGAGCAAATTATAAGAGAGATGATTAGTTTACAAGGATTGCAAATCAACCTAATTTTTACTTCTTTGGTGTGTATATTAAAAAAATATACGTCGTATCTTCCAGTTTTATAGTAAAAACTTCATAAGCAAGTAATATACAAGTGTTGCATACAAAAACGAAAAATGCTTTGCACAAATAATAAGGAAGGAAATAATAGTGTACAATTTGTAAAAAAACACAAAATATTTCCAAAAGGGATCATAAATGCCACTGTTTTATTACAAATAATTTGTGTTAAGCTTTGCAGTAAACTAAAAGGATTGTCGTCTGAAAAATGAAAAAAAAAAAAAAATTATAAATATATAAAGTGATGAATTAAGATATGGCGTTTACTCTCCAGTTTGGAAATATTTTTTTATGTGGATAGTGCGCGTCTAGCTTTCGCAAAAGGAAAAATAAAAAGTTTGTCTGTATAATTTTGTTCTGTGCTAGGTCTAAAAAAATAATACAGAAATTCGCAATGAAATTTGACAGTGATTCGGAATTGTCAAAACGCTGGAGTATTTGAATTTGTTTTGGTGTTTAAAGTGGTATAATAAATATCAGATTTGTGTTTTCCTGTCAAATGTCAGTGTTGGTCGAATTCGCGAGAAGGAGAAATTTTGGGCACCCATTAGTCGTAACCATAGTGAGATCGTGCGAGTTAAAAGTTGGTTAAAATGTTCCAGCATTTTTGGTTAATGTATAAATATCAATCCACTTGTGATGTATATAACAGTGGATTCGTTTTGACCTTTAATAATTTATATAAACAGTGTTTGCAATTAGCATCGGGCTAGCCGAAAAAAATTACATAAAAATCACTTGTCATACACACCACGCGTAGTTAGGTACGTAAAGTCAAACTGAACACAACATCGGTTGAGATTATGTCTAGGCAATACAACTATAACACAATTACAAAGGAGGGCGTCGATTATAGTGGAAGGCACGAATTGGTCCCGTAGTTTGGTGCCTGACCCTGGGACAAAAAACTACTTACTATATCCCTGAGGGTAACCGACTACACCTACGTCCACGCGAGATACATGAAAGGCACTGATAGGTTCAGCATATCACAAGATCCGAGATGTGGTCGTTCTCAATATTCTATACGACCTCATCGTGGGCAATGGAATGTGAATGGAGCTACTTGAGCTCGTGCATGTTTTTACTTAACAATAAATTGTTGTGGGGCCCCGACAAATGTCTGATCAGCTCGGGGAGCGATTCGAACGACAGCGGGCAGAAGCAGCAGTTGAACCTGCCCGAGTTCCCGTCGTTCGACGATATAACGTTCCTGTGCACAGAACACAAATGTTTCAGCAAGTGTGCCTTCTGCTTGAACATCGCCACACACAATCTACACGCGAATGGTTTTTCACCTGTATGTACTCGCAAGTGGGTCTTCAGATTCCACGACATACCGAATTGTTTGCCGCAATATTCACAACGATACTCTCGAACTTGAACTGCGGGTAAGGATTGTTTACTAGTCCCGGTGGCGTGGGATGAACTTTCGGCTGTGTCATCGTTGCCGCTTGCCGAAAACGATGCCGGAGGGTCTCTGGTTTCCTCGTTGCTCGTCGGGGCGTTTACTTGGGTTTGACACAACGACCATGCTCCCCAGGTGTGCTCGAAAGTTTGATAAGTATCCGAGGTTAGCCCTTGGTCAGCACTGGGCGGTCTGTACTTCACCACGACGTTATCCGGTGCACCGGAAGTGTCCGGGTGCTGTCCTGGGGTCGGGGTGTGGGTCCTGTCCACCAAAAACGGTGGGGCCGATAACGACAAGGGATGGTGCGCTGCCAACAATGGAGGGAGCGTCTTGTATCTGTGGTGTTGATGGTGACTCGCGTCGTCTATGTACGACGGGGAGAACGGCACAAATGGTGGATTTTGGGCTGGGGAATTATGGAAGCCCGGTCTTCTTTTCCTGTGCGGTGTCACTACGTAATTGTCGGGGCTCTGTACGAGCGATATCAGTTTCTGATCTGCTATGGGCGGCTTCAGCTGCGCCAGTTCCTCTTGGTGTTTCAAGTCTATAGGTTCCGTGTAAATACTTTTACGTTTCATTCTGTGATGGTGGTACTGCGACAGCTCGTGCACCTTCGGAGCAATTTTCACCGTCGATTGGCCGATTTTTAACATGTCGGGATTTTTTTGTTCTGTTTTCTATTTAAGACAAAACCTCATTAAAACGAGTTAAACTGTGCAAAAGCAAACTTACCTCAGAATTGCTCTCGTAATCGTTATCCTTATCGTCATTGTCCGTGTTCTTAGTGTTGAGAGATAAGTTAACTGGATTTGGTGACACGGTGATCTGTTCCTGCGTGTTACTATCCACGGTGTCTTCGTCGTCGTCATCGTCTTTTATTTCACCCTCCTCTTTCTCATCGTCGTCTGTTTCCCTTTTCACGTGCACTGATTCCGAATTTTCATTTTCCGTTGGAGTCCAACTCCGATCGTCTTCGGACTGAGTTTTGGCCTCTTCCGTACTGGAAGACTGCCACATGTCCGACTTGATCTGAAGCAACTCGAAAAGTTCCTGGATACTGTCCAGCTCGTTCGACTGTAACAAAGAATGTTTCATTTTACCCAACTTTCGAATTTAACAAAGCGACGGAGGAATGGTTTGGGGAATTGTATTGTTACCGATACCTTTATACAAGCTTGTCCGTTGTAGAGGAAGTCCAGGAGGTGACGGAGGTGGCAACTTTTGATCCCTGGAATGAGAACTACGCTGGGCCCGTGAGCATGGGCACTCTCACCCAGGATGCGGCGGACTAAAGGACTTGCTGATGCCATTATCAACTTGTGGGCACTTAGAGTTGTCTTGTCATCGCACACGAACGTCATGTCTGCGTAATTCTCAGAAGCAAAGCAGGTTTTGATCTCGTCGACTATGGTAGCATGATGTTTCCCATAATGCAAGGTTAATAAGCCGTGCGAATCTTGTTCCTCCGAGTACATGGCGAATTTCGTAATTTGGAAAAGGACAACCTGAAGCAAAAGGGCCGTTAGGTCTCGACAGAAACGGTTTCTCTAATATAAAACTCCAAGAAACTGACGCACCGCATATGGAATGCGAGGGTTAGGATTGGTGCTATGGCCTGGCCAGCACGAGTCCAGACCTGAATCCCATTATTAATTTGTTTGGAAATTAAGAGATCATGCAAATCGGTTTGTGCCCTTATCGAATTGGACTGAGTGCAAACGACATTCGAACAGTCGATGTGAGAACGTAATCCGAAACAGAGGTGAAAATGTTTGATTAACTTAATTTATAGTGTTAATTATTTTTACACCAACAATTTAGTACTTTAAGTGTTTCAAATTTGGTTTTAATTAAATGTGACACATGGGATGATATTCACATATTTTTTTGTGATTCTACTATTACAAATTATCAGAATATGAAGTTTAAAGTTATTAAACTTACTTTAGCGCGTCAATTTCTTGGAGCAGTGTATTAATACAATCAAACATTCAAATTGTAATAACAGATATAGCAGGGCAAATATTCTGCATATAACGGCCAACATTAAGGGAAAAGCGTATTTTTCATTAATTAAACATATATTTTATTACAGAGAATTTTATTACATCGTTATAAAAATGATACCTTTGATAGCAAAGGAGGCACAGCTGTTTAAAAAAAATCAATATATGACAAATTCTTTAAATCTCATATGCCGTCATGGCAAAACGTTTTATACAGTGTGTTTAACCGAAAACAAACAAATTAACTTCTAAGGGTATCATTAAATGTTTTTTTTATTTACAGGCAGACATTGATGCAAAAATCAGCCACCACGTGTTTAGGTAAGTTTCGGTTTTGATAAGTTTTTGGTAAATTTGGCATATTTAATAAAACATTACATATAGGATAAAATTAGTATGATAAGCATAAGTTGATCAGCGTATTGAGTTTGCCAGGTTGTTAGGTATAAACCCAAAAATTCTTTGCTGAATCAAATCTTTTTTGGGGCATTATGAGTAAAATATTATTAAAAAACCAAGAGTAAAATAAAAATGGGAAATTATTCGTTAAAGTGTATTACCGAACATGCTTTGCTTGTTTTGGGATCCCCAAAACGAAGTTATATTTATAGTAAGGTAAAAAATTACATCCCGTATTCTTATAATTTTTAAATGTTCGCTTTTATGTCTACTGCTATAAGAATTGAATATATGCATTTATTATTGGAAAATAATCAATAGGGTCACTATAAAACTAAACTAGATGGAAAATTTTCAAATTGAAAGATCGGTTAATTTAAATTTTACGCGTTGTATTTTGTCTCTAAAAATATTTATGAAAATCAAGACTTTTGTAGGCATTAACTTATTAGTTATGAAATGTCAGAACCCGAATTTTGATTTTTTTATGAATTTGCTTAGGGAGAAGCGGGAAAGGAACGATTTCAAACGTAATTTGAGTTATTCGCCGCTTGCTGTCAGTCTTAACTTTCTTAAAAATGATTTCTTAAGACCCGTAGTTTCCGTTAAACGAAAGTGTTCGGTTGCACAATTCATAACAAAGAATTGCGAAGGAATAAAATTTCAGTCCCTAATAAAAAGTCCTTGAAATTCCGACAATTTCTATATTCCAACGAAAGGATAAGAAATGTACATGATTGTCTGAAATTGGACGGAAAAATAATATAATGCAACATTAGTTCAATTACGAAAAAACTATAATTACAAATAATGAGGTATTTAATACTGATACAGCTATATTTTTCTCAGTAATTTATCATTTTTAATTAAATCGGAGATTTGCATTTGTTTTGAATACTAATCATTGGTTACATAACCCGGTTATAGCATGGGTAGTAATATTTTTACATATATTAACTGTCTGATACTTAAAGAAATATCGAAGTTTGGTGACAGAATCAAAGGTGGCGTGAAATTTCGTTTGCTGACTGCGCGTTGCGATCTCCCAAAATTATTAAAAGAAAAAAAAAAAATGCGATTTCGCTTAAAAAAATCATTCCTGTCCCATTTTCCCCTCCCGCTGTCCGAGACGAGAGTCAGCGGTTCGGTTTCGCGTTATCGAAAAAATCCAACCATTAAAGGTAAACAACATTCTCACATGCAGACGAGAGCTTTGGTTAATTGTACAAATCGGCACGCCTCGGCGTACAGGTGTTCATGTGAATTTGCAGCACATTTGCAAGGAGTTACGCTGGATACACTTTCATTTTCGTTTTAATGGCACCTTACTGTGTTAAACGTATTCATGAATTGTGTCGCGAGTCACACATGAGAAACACATCGTTGCGAAATATCGTATAAATATGCCTCGTATAATCTAGTGTGCAGTAAAGCAGAATTATTTTGAACGTAGTTTATCGGGTTGTAGGGTATGAGTGTGAGAATTTTCAGAGTAGGACTGCAATTTAGTAATGGCAGTAAATGTGGTGTGATGTAATGAAAATAATAGAAATGAGCGTTACATAATTTAAATTGAAAGCAGTTGAGGAATTGCACGAGGCGCGCTTTGGCCGTGCGCGAGTAAAATCAAATGGTTGACGTAATAGAGCGCGAAAAAGTAAGTAAGCAACAGGTTGGAGAGGGTTGTGACGTTGGGCGACGGCCGAGCGATGGTGTGACGGACAGGTGAGGGGTGGCTTACCCGGAGAAATATTTAGTCCTATAGGGCACCCGCGACTGTGTTATCCAAAGGGTCGCGAGCACCAGAAGAAGTGAATCCACTACCGTGACACCGAGCCATAGCTCCACCACACTACCACACTGACGATGTCACCGTCGCCGTCGCGTTTAGTGTGCACCGCGTTGAATCGCGTCTTCTCGCTGGTCTGCCTTCGCGTCGAGTGTATAATATTTTTGGGGCACGAGTTTTCAACACTGGATTGCGCCACAAATGAAAGTAAAAGTGAACGAATGCGAGCCTTCACAACGGAGCGCGCGGTGTGTATTGAAGCAAGTTTCCTGAAGTCCTGAAAATTAGCCGCTGGGTGTAGTTGGCGCCGTTGTACGGTGATGTGTGCCACCCCCGAGAGCCTGAAATTATGTGTGAATTATCGACATCAGCTCTGCTCACGGGATCACACATAATACTACTTAACTCTTAATTTCTCCCTTTACTTTCCCCTCTTTTCTTTTGGTCGGCTCCCCCCACCGCCGGCACAAGTTTTTTTCCTATTGCTGGCTCACTCGCAGCTTATCTTTCTCTACTTTCAAGGTCGCAGGGGAGCAGGCGGCTGCGCGATATTCCGTACTTTTTGCTCCGCGTACTATTTGGCAGTGTCGGCTGTGGCGGAATTTCGCCACAGTACAGAATCTATTTTAGTTCCCGTACGCGCGCTACGAACTGGTGCTGTAATTTTGCATTCGTCGCTCTGCGACTTGCAGCGAACAACATTCCGAGCGTTTCATTTGCTTTCACCGGCGAAGCCAAGGAGACTCGTCGTAAACGGGGCCCGAACTGGGGCCACAACCGGACTTTCACAATACCCGCGCCGGTGGGGGAACTGTTGTATAATACCGATGCAATAACAGACCTATGCTGGGAATAGAAAGATCTAATGCATCTGGAATTAAATCTGTAATACTACGCTCACTCATTCCTAACATTTCTGCCACGGCTCGTTCGCCATTCTGCCGCCGCTCGTACCGTACCCCAAAAACGCCCTACGGACCGCTCTTGTAATACCCCATTGTCTTGCCGTATTATGTTAGAATTACGTTATAGCAAGGGAAAGTGGCCGATACTATAACACTTTCACTATCGCGTAATGTTGTCTGGACCCGCAGACCTGCTCGACCTCCAAAACATGCACTACTTAATCCATTTAAAACATCACCGTCGCCGTCGGCCGGGACCGGCTCGATTTTTAACAACTTTCGGCCCTCTTTCACCCGCACCGGGTGCAACAAATTAATATGAATGCGCCGATGTGAATCTCATAAATAACAAATGGCGTAATACACAGCAGAGCGAGCGTTTGTATTAAGTAATTGATCGTTCTGTGTTGGTTCAACTGTCCTCGAGACTGATTTTACCTGTTTGAAACTTTCAAGGTCTCTGCTTTGTAGGGAAGTGAAAGTGGTCTTGCTTCAACTGACACGGCAACAGACAACGGGCGCACGGTGCGATGCGAGGTACCCGCCGTACGCGCCAATCCGCGGCTGGAGAACCACCCCCTCCGCGTTAACCCTGTGTAACCCTTGGAGAGCACCGCGGCGATAATGCGTCTGGCCCACGAGGACGGGTCGTACGACCGGCCGGCCCTTCTCATCTCGCTCCCAAAAATTCACCGCGGTTTCCATTTAACGTTCTTTACGAATACCGTCTCCAGAAGCCATTCGCGTAAAATACTTCATTTTTTATTAATTATCATCCTTTTGTGCAAAAAAATGCCTGTAAAATATTTAACTTAAAATTATCGTGTCGAATGGAGTAGTTAATAGAAATTTGCGCAGTGGCGGATTGAAGATATTTACTTTGGCGTATTTAAAATCAAATTCAACTTTTTGCAAATCAAAGTCACTCTTTTTCAAATCAAATTCAACCTTTTGCAAATCAAATTCACCTGTTCGCAGATCAATTTAACTCTCTTCCAAATCAATTTCATTCTTTTTCAAATCAAATTCACGCATTCACAAATCAAGTTTATCCATTTTCACATCAAATTCACCCCTTTCTCAATCAAATTCAACATTTTGCAAATCAAATTCATCCTAATGGGTTTAATATTTAACATGATTGTTTAATCAATCATCTCTCACCAGTTGATGCGACAGGGTTTTTCTATTGAAATCTTTGATTGTTATTTTTTTATAACAAATAAAACTCGATTACATTTTGTCGACGTTTCCGCCTTTTTATTACGGCATCCTCAAAACTCAGGATATGTCGAGTTTTATTGAGTCCAAAACTGTAAACGTATCTAAAGTACATTTTAAATATAAAATTGGGAATATTGATATTTTAAATACGAAAGTAATTTTAATGTGTTGTGATTCATTAAATATAAAATTGAGAATTGATCCCCAATTTTGTATTTAACATGGCCTTATATACTTTGATTTGCAAAAGGTTGAATTTGATTTGAAAAAGGATGCCGATGATTTGAAGAAGGGTGGACTTGATTAGCGAACGGACAAATTTGATTTGCAAGTGGTTGAATTTGATTTGGGAAAAGTGAATTTGATTGGAAAAATGGCGAAATTGATTTACTAACGGTTGAATTTGATATGCAAAAAGTCGATTTTGGAGTGTAAAACTTTTAGTAGCTTCCAGTCGCGTAATGTAAATCTCCAATGGATTTCCTAGCAATGAAAAGCCAAAGCAAATATCTCAAACTGTCGATTAAAGCTAAAGTTATTTGCGTCTATAGAAATCACAGATTCGGTTGTGTATTTGTCTTTAATCTACCAATGCTCAAATTAACTACGTGCACAAAAATAAAATTTTAAGGGCCGAAGCCTGCAATTTCACTTGACATAAAGAGAGTTCGCTGATCAAGTCCACCCTTCTCCAAATCATCGTCATCCTTTTTCAAATCAAATTCAACTTTTTGCAAATCAAATTCACTCTTTCAAATCAAATTCAACTTTTTGCAAATCAAATTCACTCTAATTCAAATCAAATTTAACCTTTTGGAAATCAAATTAAATCAAATTCACCTGTTCGCAGATCAATTTAATACTCTTCCAAATCAATTTCATTCTTTTCCAAATCAAATTCAATCTCTTGCGAGTTAAATACACGCATTCACAAATCAACTTCCTCCATTTTCAAATAAAATTCATCCCTTTCCCAATCAAATTCAACCTTTTGCAAATCAAATTCACCCTGATGGGTTTAATATTTCACAAGATTGTTTAATCAATCATCTTTCAGCACTAATTACATTTTGTCGACGTTTCCTCCTTTTTATTACGGCAGCCTCAAGACTCGGGATATGTCAAAAACTATAAACGTCTAAGTACATTTTAAATATAAAACTGGAAATATTGATATTTTAAATACGAAATTAATTTTAATATGTGTTGTTTTTTAATTCATTAAATATAAAATTGGGAATTGATCCCCAATTTTATATTTGATTAGCGAACGGATAAATTTGATTTGCAAGTGGTTGAATTTGATTTGGGAAAAGTGAATTGGGAAAAAAGGTGAACTTGTTGTTTATTTTAAATTAAATTGTTTTACTACGTTAACTTTTGGAGGGGGGGGGGGGGCGGCGCCCCAGAGCCCCCCTCAACAGCCACCACTGTTTAAAGAGGTGGTACACAACTCTGTATCGAGCGGCATTTTTTTGCATTGCATTTAGCGTTTTTATTTGCGGTAGCATTTAAAGTTTTGTTCCGATTCAGTAATTCAAAATAAGCATTCCTGATGGTTAGTTAGAGGATGGTTCATCTTCTCAGTTGAGATAGTTCTACAGGGCGTATCGCGTACAATTAAAAAGCAATCATCGGCGTATTTGTTAAACTGAAACATTTATAGCTAAACTGTTTGTCGATTTAGTAACTGAAACTCTTATTTTGCCCCAAAATATCGGTCGCTGTTCCCAACCGCTTTGAAATCATGATTCATGTTCCTTGGAGAGTTGATTTTAAAGTGACGTTAATAACTTAATTTCGCAGGAACGGTAAAAAACGTACTCGACATACAACTAAAGAAACTATTATCTAAGCGATAATCGCACAGATGAGTGCAGTCAACCTAATATTTTCTATCATGCTTCCATAACTCTTTTATCAGCGAACTTTGTGCACTTTTAGAAAGTTCAATCGGCAGAGCCGATACATATTTTACACTTAAACCGAATGCAACTTGTTAATTTTTTGTGATATACTTGGATTTTAAACTTTCCTCCGCGAGCTGTGCGCTGTGCATAGTATTTTTCTAAAATTGGTCACAAATCTGTTGTGGGTGCCATTCGGGATAGTCTGCGATGATTACATAATCGGATATGGGTCGACAGTCACATAGTAATTGCTGTGGTACGGCATACGGCAACGCATGTAATCAGTGTTGCCAATTCACGGGGCATATCCCTATTTCTAATGTCTGAAGTCGAAATAGCGTTTGTTAAATGTTAAATAAACATTATAAACGAGAAAAATGCTTTGTTATGCTTTTAGTGTTTTGTTGTCTTCACGCAAAAATAATACAGCGATCGTAAGTGTCTCGGAGTGGCAAACGGCATTTATTGTTTTTTTTTTAAGACGCGGAAAGTTTTTATTAGTCAGCTGATAGGTCTCTGCATGGATTATCGGCAACAATGCGTGTTAATAGTTAAGCGAGAGCGAGACGGGACCAGAGCATCCTTGAAACTTGGAACATCCGCTCTCTCGTCGCAGGATCACTTTGCACTTACTTGATCCTCAGGTAAAAAATGTACTAATCACTAATTGTGGTTCTAACAGTGGCGGGCCGATCTACAAATCGTCGTCAATAAATCAATGAAGAATAAGGATTGGCTCCAATTTTTCCACAATTTTAAGCTTCACAAAGTTTTGATTTGGCTTTTATTTGTTTAATTGGTAATGGAAAGAGAGGAACTTTTTAGACACAAAACTATGAAAACCAAACACAGTTTTAAACGATCTTTCGAAAAAGAGTACCAAAAATTACCTTGTGAATTAATTTTTGGATGATTACACAGCCACACAAAAAAGTGGTCTGTACTTTTCGTGCGACATATGTTATCCGTAGTATTTTTGCCTCCTGATCACCAATCCGGCGTCACAATTGCGGGATCACATCACAGGAATTTCCTAACCTCAAAAAACAGGTCAAAAATAGCAAAAATTCAAGGAAAAGTGCTAGGAAAAATATACTTTTTTTTTTCTATATTCAAATGTTCATTTATATGGTTAAGACCCCGCTGAACGTGAATCCGCGTCAGAATTGATGGTTCTTTTTCTAACCTCAAAAAAACGGGTCAATTAAGGTCAGATATCACGAATTTTCAAAAAGTAACAGATTTGCTCCAAATTTGGTATACGGGGGTCTTCGGGGTCGCTGAACACGGATCCGAGGTCAATTTTGCAAAATTCAAGGTGGCGGATCCATGATGGCCAAATT